TGGGTAACACAGCTTGAAATTGTCCACAGTGGTTCAGATGCACTTATTCTTTATCTTCTCGATATTGTACTCCAGTATCCCTTCGTGCATACCTTTCCACCATCTTTTTAAACCATATTACTAAGATTGTCTTTCGTTTTACGATTGCTACAATATTATTTTGTTATGCCAATCTAGTTCGACAACGCGGACCAGCGTACGTCTGTCTGAGGTCTCTTTCTTGAGATGTCTTGCCTCAAAACAACAGCTACTAGTAGGTGTGATGAACTTTGCTGGTTTATATATTTCTGTTGCTTATAACGTGAAACAGAATTTCTTTGCTACAGACCTAAGAAATTTGATTAGTAACGACGACGTTTTCGACCCTGAACTGTGACCGATTAGTTAGAATTGCAACCACTTGAGCCCAGTCGCATGACTTTTTTGTTGTGTTAGCTTCGTACTTTTTAAAGCTTACCAACAGGACTGTATTATTCTCGATCTGAGATTAATTAGAAGCAACGGCCACTAGACATGCTGACTACTTGTGGGAATCACTACTACGAGTACAATGCAGTAGATGATTTAACTCATCCAACTAGTCAATAACAACGTAGAACCTGACGTACAGGCATATTACTTTTTAAATTAGAACTTGCTATTTTTGATCCTGTTGTTTTCTTAAATGACCTATTGGGATGAGAAAACCTCAAGAAATATGTTCCAAACGAAACAGCGCAAGCAGGTAGTCACGAAGACTAAACTAGTCCACTGTGTCGAGGTAACAACAAAAGTCGTGAATGTATAAACTGATAATGTAACAGTGAGTATAATATAGACAACCTGGAATCCTTTAAAATAACCAATAAACAAACTATCTTGAATTTATTGGGTTTTGCTGAAGTAGTTGCTAAAAGAAAGGTTTAAGCCAAATTTATGTATACAGAAGAACATTGTTATTGACCTTGTTACGTTTACACAGAATTACTTTTAGGTGTTTGTTGCGTGACTTTTTACAACCCTAATTATGACTATTAACTCACTTCTTGTCTGTGCTTTACTCAGCTAGTCAATTATTTAAGCATTACGTTAACAAAGACGTTAATCCAACATTCCTAAAACTTTTGTTTCAATGCTCTTTACAGTTTACTCCTCCAAACATGTTTAGTCTGGAGAAAGCGACTTTTTTTAACAATTTTTTAATCTCTTCACAATTGCTTATTGTTAAGTTACATCTACATGTCTTAATCAGAAAGATAAACATAGAGCACCAAGTACCTGAACACAAGACATTCATACTAGGAAATAATTTAGACCATTACTTAGCAATCGGCAAGACTATAACCTCTGGACGAACCAATAAAATTAAAGATGGCACGTTTTAGATTTTGGCGCAATTCATTCGTTCATATGATTAAATAGAAATTACAGGTGATATTAGTTTGTGAAGAGAACCCTGAATTTAATTCCTAACCATAAACTCTAACTCTAAATTCTAATCCTGATTCCTCAGACTAGTTTATAAATTTCCCTTAGACCTAGCAAGGTGTCCTTTTCAAGGCCACTATCCACGTCCATAAATTATAGTCTCACCCAGCAGTGTATTACGCTGCTCAACTAGGAATACTACAAACTGTCCTGCTCATAGTAAGGATCTTAGTGAACATGTTTTGTCATTGCAGAAACTTTAAAGGACTTACTGAATCTCTTGTAGAATTCAGCTGGATGATAGTGTACAAGCTTTGTAAACAACCTTCCCGAAATCTAATTAGCTTTATGCTGACATGAAGCCGGAAAAATGAGCTTAATGATATATGTAACTGGTTCTGAGAACTTGTCTACAATACTATGATAATTTCCAAACCAGGAAGTTTGGAAACCTGAAGTTCAAGTCAAGTTGCCTATATGTTTATGACAGATTCTTAGGATAAGTGTAGCCATTCAAGATCGTTGCTGTAAATGTTTTACGAACTTTAAAACCTCATGCAAGCCAGTAAACAGATAGAGAGATCAAATCAAAAACTCATGGCTAAGAAATAATAAAACTGATTTGTGCTCAGTTTTCACAGTGCACATTTTAATCCTACAACCAAAACCCTCATATTAAAGGAACTCACACAAGCCCATTTTTCACCACCTAATGAATAGTTTTGCAGTCTCAATTCAATGTTTACGTTAATAATCATGTCAACATAACGACGTCACAGAATGATAATCCAGAAACATTGATCAGTGTTTTATCATAAAACGGCTTTATGTAAAGAGTTTATTTGTAGTCACGTGACCATACAAAAGTTGCACCAAGGCAATGTAGTGAGCAGAAGCGTAACAGACTTCTCCGAAAAACCACAGATTTCCAAGGAGTCTTTAAAAAAAACCAGACTACCACGATAATCGCCAACACTCTTAAGTATATTGCAAACTTTCTTGAGTTCGATATAAGTACAGTTCGCCTTTAAAGGCAAATAAATGTTGACATATATGCTGGTAGAGGAATTACACGGCTCGCTATAAGAAAATAAACAAATCTTTTCTTCCTATATCCGAAGTCCAATCTTAAATCAACTTCGGAGAGCAAGGGGACTCAACTATCGTGCAGTTACTTTTATATATACATTATATGAACCACAGCTTAAAACACAACTTCATCGAATATAAGCATACTGAATATAACACACAATTCGCGATTTCGGAATTTTAGCCCGGCCTTCAACTTTCTGAAATCTATGAGCCCGCTCTTCAGTTTTGGAGGACCCGCCTAACGTGATGTTCTCACATTCACTAACTCGAGGCGCGATACCAGGAAATCGGAAGCTGGCTCACATTAAACCAATTTTTCAATTAGGTCGACGCAGCGAACTTTCAAGCTACCGGTCAGTAGCACCCTCAAAATTATGGAGTTACTGATTTGTGACGGTTTACGTAACTGCTTCCTATTCATAAAATTCTTTTCATCCCAACAGCACGGTTTCAGAAACGTTCACTCTCGTATAACCAATCCGCCGATTGCGGTGAACAGATCAACAAAATTCCTTGATCGCAAGCGGAAGTTTGACTTCTCAAGTGCTTTTGGTGATGTCAACCATTTTTGTCTTAGCAATAAGCTCAAACAATTGGGTATCAAAACACCTTCAAATGACTGGCTCACTTCATATCTAAAAATTGACATTTTAGGGCAAAGATTAACTTCACTTTCTCTCAGGCTGTGGAATGTCCTAGTAGGGTCCCCCAGGGTTCAGTACTAGGACATCTCTTCTTGGTTTATAAAAACCACCTTTTACAACAGGTATAATCAGATGATGTTAAGCTCTGGTGAGAAATTTACAACCACAAGGAGAAATTGGCACTTCAGGAGGATCTGACTCGCCCTCAAAGTTGTGCGGACAACAACGGACATATGTTTGACACTCCAAAGTGCAAAGTAGTTCATCGGTGACATGTTGCAGACTACAGCTACAACTTAGGCGACTCCCTTCTAGAAGCATCCCGGGTTGAAAAAGATTTAGGAGTGTTGGTACCTTGTGATCTGAAGTCTCACGCTAACTGTGACAAAAATGCCTTTCGAGCAAACCTTGCACTCGTAACATTGAAGCGCATTTTTGGCCAGTTTGATGGAGGAACTTTCTGCATAATCTTCAGCAGTCTTTTCGACTCCATTTAAAGCGTGGCAGTATATTGTTTCTGCTCTCAATCCAAAAGGATAAGAACACATTGGAACGTATCCAATTGTGAACCACGAAATCAATTTGAGGACTAAAATTTAATCCCTATGAAGAGCGCCTCAAATTGCTGAACCTTTACCAATCAGAGTATAGGTGTCTTAGAGGTGAAATTGTGGTGACTTACAGCATTCTTAACACTTAGCTCCAACACAAACCTCAAGGGTAACACCCAGAAACTAGAGACACAACACAGAAGAACGGACTGTTGACATAACTTCTACTCCTTTAGAGTTGTCAGATGCTGTAATTCGCTGCCGGCTGAGCTAGTCCAGGTGACTTTCCTTGAGTCCTTCAAGAGGCAACTTGATATATTCTTAAGGACTAAGGGTTGAAGATGACACGGGTATTCAGTGTTTGACAACGCTTTTACCAGTAACACCTGTAGCGTGGCGTCGAGTTGAGATTAACTATGAACACCGCTACCAAGAAACACGTGCCAATTAGATCAGAAGGCGTAAGAAGCTCGTTCCAAATGACTCCATAAAATCCCCGAGAAGCCGAATACCAGAAGGCAATTAATGGACCAAGTCGAGGTTTATTAGCTGGCGATCTCGTGGCATCGAAAGGATACCGAGATCGTGCCAGGATACAACCTTGGTTACAGAAGGTAACCGAATTCGCGCGAAGTTACAATCAAAGTGTAAGTAAAAGAATGGAAGCACAAAATGGCTGTCATTAGCACAGTCAAACAAAAGCACGTTAAAACAAACACTGGTACAGTTGGTTATAATAATAATTGTTTTTATTAAACCAGTCGTGTTCTCGTGATAAACGTGAGTCACTACACACCTTCTAATATAACTCGTACCCACCAAGAGAAATCAAAAGACAGAATCGAGGAGATCGGAAGCTGTATTTGATGATTGCCAATATATCGGAATTATCTGATTTAATCTGGCTAACGATTGCAGTAGCAGTTCTCACACGTGATCTGGTGCGGATGCATGACCGAGCGCCTTCAGCTAGATGAGTCCACCAAAACATATGGTCAGCATCCAATGTCGAAAACTCACAGAGCTATTTATTTTGGGGATTTATCTACCGCTACAAGGTAATCTGTTACTATGAATTACCAATTTCTCTTTTTTTCTACTATCGTTGATAAACCGAGGTTCCTGCTTAGAGGTACTGGTGATTCTCTGCTACTAGACACGGAAGTTCGTTATGCGAAGGCTTCTTCTATTCCGTTCACTACTATTTGAAACTTTATTTTGTGATTATGGAACTTCTTGAATATCCATGTCACCATCGACTGATGAAAATCGATTGAATGGTTTATACGTTCTGGTAAAATAGTTATGGTTTGTTGCTAATATTTGTTGTCTTGCATCATAGTCGTTGGCTTGTTTTGTCGGTTTAATGTCTTCCCCGGTATTTACAAGAATCGGCAAATCACTGCTGCGTGTTCGTCTATTGATGCAACGTCGTGTTGTGATTTCGTCCGGTAATGTCACATTAATGCTTTGTTCTATATGTCTCTCCACATTAGTAGATATTTTGTGGTAGGTCTTGTAAAGTATGTGAGTATGGATAGCATCATGTTAAACTTAAATAGCGTGTCATGAATTAAGTCATTATTGAAGACCATGTCTAAATTACAATAAAGGCTGTCAAGTAATATAGGTAGTTAATGCTCACATCTCATCAATAATTCGTACTGTTTTCTGGTTAGTAAGCATTTAGTATAATACTCAAAAATTTGTTTCTTGTTTAAAGTATTCTTAACGTATTTATAAGTATTTGTGTAAGTACGGTTTATTTCTTATTCTAGTAATGCGACTTTGAAAATCTGTTCAAGTCACAATGGCTTTCTTAAAACTAATAATAATCCAGTCATATTTTTTCTCAGAACCCACACTGTATATGAGGTATTATTCATATATTAATAGTTCTGTCCCATGGATTTCTTGCAGATCCGTCCAAGTTTATTCTTACTTGCTTCGAGAATAGTTTATCGTGATGGTGCGTCACTTAATAGGCAACTTAACCAGAATTGAAGACTGCTAAACGAGTTTGTTTCCTTCGAGAAACCGATTAAGTCAACATGCTAATAAAATGAACTAATCTTATACTTAATTACAAAGTTACTCAAAACCACACCTATGCTCGTGTGTTATGCTAGTATACAATTAAGTATAAAGAATCATAGTTGGAAGGGTCATCAACTCGTTCTGCACAAATAACATGCAAAGATGCACAATTTTAGTTCCAAGTCGAGAAACTTCATATTAGTCGAAATATACAGTGCTGTGTCAAGGAGTCAGGCCAACCTAAGCACTGTACCACACTTCGTTTGTCCTAGACTTTGGTATTTCTGACCTAGCAATCATGAGTATTTACTGGGCCTGAATGTAGTACACGCCATAAGTTCGAGTGCTTCCTACTAGTTTGAAACAATTATTGTGATTATTATCATCCTGAAAAAAGTATGTGTTTGCGATTGTATAGCTTTGAAAATGAATTCGCTAAAAAGAGATCTTTTCGCTGAACCAATCATATTTAATGTCTTAATGGGTGTATTCCGTTTACTTAAACAAAATAAACATATTCTTGTATTTAAGCTGTGTAGTTATAGAGTAATTATTTAGCACATCACCTATCAAAAAGAAACATGCTGGTTCAACCCCATTAATTATTAAGTAGCTTCTCTCTCATCTCTAATCAACTGCTTATTCTGAATTAGAAATCCTATAGAACTACTCAGTATCCTCACTCTAGTTCTCCACAATTCTATCATACTGTAAGCTGTTAGATACACAAGTCGTTTCTCATGAATACTACGCTAAATGAGTGAAAATTCAATGTTTTTACGAATTCTTGTTGCTACATTAGCATCGTTGTATAAAAGATATGTATCACGATCAAACATTTGTGTGTACGTGACGTGTTAATCTGTAAATACTTTTGTTTACGCTCGACTAATTCATGTGCTAAAGTTAACATCGCCTAGATAATCTATTTAGTCATTCAAAACAGCCACTCGCTCAGTTTAATTAAGAGTTTGTAGGGATTGCCTAAACGTGTGATTTATGGGTAATTTTAGGTGTTCCTTCGCTCCGTGTGGTAAAAACGTATCAGTCGATGATAGGTTTGCTACCATGATGAGTCAACTAAAAAATTGTATTCCCAAACTTTTGTATAAATACAAATATTGGGTAAAAACAGCACTACCTTTTCAAAAATATAAAAACCCATAATTATTTTTTTGTAGTTTCAATGGAGCATACCAGTATCAACTATCCTGAGATATATAAGGATGAATCTACTATAGAGGAAAAATTTGATGTCCAGGTACGAGGATTGTTTTCCTCATATTTTTTTAATTACCCATTAAGGTTGTGCCATTCCAAAACAATGCTTTTAATATGTGTATAAGACTTATATAAACAAAAGGCGTTTTATGTGTAATCGAATTCTGCCCACATTAAATCAATAAGTTTTTGAATCTCTGTCGACTGAGATGGTTAGGATATGTACTACGCAAACCCATCCACCAACCACCTCGACGTGCGATAATGGCTGGTGCAGGAACAGGTTAGGAGAAATGTAGGGACGGCCAAACCAAGACATGGTGTTAACACATAAAGACACTGACTGTTGAACTGAGTCGTGTAGGTACGTGTAGATTATTTGGTTGGGGTCCACGTGATTATGGTAACCGATTGTTAGAGATGGCGCAGGTACATTCCCTCTAGATTCCTCATAAATTTTCCCCATTATTTCACTAAGTTATATTTTATCGGATGGTCTCTTGTATGTGTAGTCTTTTCTATTACCACTAATACTGCTATTACCTCAACAACTATGGGATTCAGCCTGGCAATTTCATCTCTGCACTCTAACGGGTTATGGCAACTTAAACCGATGTATGCATATGCTAGGTTCTAGGCTGCGTTCGACTGAGTGCCTAAACCCTTAGTAAAGATTCTCGTGATCGTTTTATAACCAGAAACTAGTACACAACATTACTCTGGAGTACTTAACTAGCTTATTTCAACTTTACATTTCGTGCCTAATGCAGTCCAGTAGCGTGAGATATCTGGTTTGAAATTCAGTAATTATGATTAGTTAATGTAACTTAATAAGCTGTTCGCAATATGCAAGACCTATTCAATTTTAAATATTTCTAGTATTAGAGCAAATAGTTTTGTAAAGTGATAAGCAACCATTTTCCGTTGTTTAAGGAATAAGGAAAAACTCAACCTATATTAATTTGTTGATATTATAGCAATTATTTCTCATGTGAACAGTTTATCCGAAATCCATGGCCGGGTTTCTTCGAATTCGATAACTTAGTGTCGGAAAATTGAATTTTTTCAAATACAGTTAGTAATAATCTTCATTCTTAAGTTCGTGCATGCCCAGAAATTCGCAAGGCTCGTTTTGTGAATTAAATACACAATAAGGAAGTACAATAATAGTAATCTTTAGCACTCTACTTAAAGTAGAGGACTAGTCTATTAACAATTCATGTCTTGACGTTAAATTATATACTTAATTGTGATTTTGTATGTTATATGTTCACTTTGTATCGTGGAAATTACCATTGAGAAGTAGACCATTCTCTACTTACAATTTGGCTGGACCTACCTAATTTGTTTACAAAGTAACGTTTTCCTTCCTGGCTAGATTCATGATCCTTACAGATGGCTGGAAGACCCGGATTCTGCCCAGACAAAAGCTTTTGTAAAGGCACAAAATCTGATAACGGAGCAGTTCTTGCGTAAATGTCCATACACTTCGAAAATCAGAGATAGGTAAGTGTATTACTTTAAGTTATATTTTTAGATTAACTGCTATCTGGGACTACGAAAAATACTCTTGTCCATTGAAATACGGCTCCTTTTACTACATATGGCATAATAGTGGTTTACAAAATCAAAGGTACTTTTTTATTTGAAGAGGGATTTGTCAGTGTTCTTTATCAAATGAAAACGTTGTCAGGACCCACAAAAACGTTTTTAGATCCTAACGAAATTGATCCAGAAGGCCTTACATCTTTGAGAAACTACAGTTTTTCGGTGGAAGGAACTTATTGTTGTTATGGTCTTAGTTTTGGTGGTTCTGATTGGTCTGAACTTAAAGTAAGTTTACATTTCATTAATGTGTTTTCTTAGTTTAAAACCTGCGAATCGGGCAAAGATCTGCCAGATGTTTTGAAACATGTCAAGTTCAGTTCAATTTCGTGGACGAAGGATGAGAAAGGTGTTTTTTACTGTATGTACCCTCAGCACGAAGGTAAAGCGGATGGTACTGAAACAACTACTAATACTGATCAGAAGCTCATGTACCATCGTCTGGGTACACCACAGTCAGATGATATCTTGTTCCTGGAACGACCGGATCACCCTACTTGGAATATGTGCGTATAAACAAAAGTCTTAATTCGAAAGATAATTTTTTTTAATCATTCGCCTATTAACTTAGCCCACTTCTATAGTATGTTCTGTCTCACATTGTCTTGTTTGAAAACTTCCCAAGGCTGGTTAGCTTGATGTTTTCAAGCTTTGTTTTAGCGGTGGCGAGATTGTTTTTTTTTCCTGCTGCAATTAATCTCACTTGGTATGCATGTATGACATACAAATCTTGAATCTATTGCTTACCAACATGTATCTAAAAATTTCATCCTACCCCTTAAAATGATGGTGAATGTCAAATATTAGGTTGCAGGTGTTCGGTTGTAAGAGTTCTTAGTTGGATCATCTAACGAACGGCATTTAGGGTGAATCTGGAGTCATTTTACGTTTAGTCGTAAATGTGGATCGATTGATATGAGTGACACATTTCCAACGTCTGATGCTATCCTTCTAAAGACGTAAGAAAATTCCGACAATGTTTTAGCTAAGTCCATTAAGCTACTAATTGCTCGTTATCGGTATATAGGCGTGGTGTTTATTTTAATCCAAACAATAACTTCTGTATTACTAATGCTTTTCCTCTTGTCTTTGAATAATTTTGTTATAACGGTTGGATTTCCTCGTTTACACTTATGGGACGTAAATTTGCCTTAGACGAATATCTACACTAGATACCTTTCCAGTGTCTATTCTACAGGACTTCAGCATAACTCAGATCAAGAACACATGATTAGTCTGACCAGAATGTAAATATATTTCCACACCAAAACCCGACACAATCCAACAACAATGAACAATCAATGATAATAATTATAAGGATAGGGGAATATATAACTCATCTGACACCTGTTAGACTATTTACATGTCCGACTAAGCAGACAATCACTATCATTCTCATCCACACATCAAATTTTATCTGCTATATGTATAATTTTATTTATTTATTTTGACACATAGATATTGGTACAAGGAGGTACCAGATATATATGCGCCACACAAATCTCATTCGATATGTGTGAGGGCTGGGATACTGCCCGGGTGCCCAAACCGAAACATGATATATATATATATATATATATAAATTTGTAATAATCATATACCTTAGGATTTTGCGCTAGCTAAAGCTACTTCAGCCTGATTTTGTATTCACCTTTATATACTTTCAGACAGTAAACATATTTACCGTAACGTACGATGCTGAACTAAATTAGGTTTAAAACAAGAGTTGAATATCAAAGAACGTTGAACTACGCTAGTCTGTACATTCACTGACCGTTGATCTAGGCCACATAAAGACTCATAATTCCTTTTTCTAGTGCTCAAGATAATGGTAGTCAATGAATAAAGATGGTTTATATTTTTCCACGTAGTTGGTGTATTACTAACCTTTATTTATTTATCTAAACAGTTTTCAATTTTTGTTGATTGTTTTTCCAATGTTTCATTTCCACAAGATTGTGTCTGGTACTCTTAATATTATATCACGTAAATCGAAATCAATAAGATTATACGTCTTTGTTTCATTGATATGATCTCTTACACTGGCATATGTTTTCGTGTTATATGTATTTTGAAATATCAGTCAAGGAGAAGTGTCTGATTGCGGGAGATACTTACTGGTAACTTTGTATGATGGATGTGAACCCAATAACCAGCTTTTCTACTGCGATCTTGAAAAATTCGATCTAATTATCAAAAGTTAGTTGTTACGTAACCAGTTTGTCTTTGTGCATTAACATAGCATTGATCTTTGATGTATACTAGACCCAGTGATTAAGTAGTTTTTGTCTTACAATTCTTGTATTACCATCAATGTATATCATATTCATAGTATCTGTGATCTCTCAGCGAACACGACTTGGTGCTGGTTTATTTTAAAGCCAATACAAAAAGTTTGTAATTAACCAAGCTTCAGAGATGTGGAAGCTAGACGAAGTGGTGTGAAGGGCTGCGGGCAGTATAACGATCAGTAAATCAGCTGACATAATCAGTGGTTTTCTGGACAGTGTACCTTAATTCGACTGTAACTCCCCACAAATTAGATAGAATTTAATCTCTGGTTCTAACATAGATTATGTCCTAATGGATATAATTTTAGTGGTCCTAGTCTTCAGTTTTCTGTTTGAATACACGAAAAGCAAATACTATGTTAAATTATTAAAGACTGTAGTCACTGCAACATTGCCATGTATTTTCAACGAATAATAACAATAATACTTAAGGTTTATATATTTGTACACCGTTATTATGAGTAAATCAATGAGATTATTGAATGTTTCTTTAGGAATAATGATATGCAGTTGTATATTTGCATAGTTTGATTTTCAGTTAGCCTCCATTTTCCACATTTTGCGCTAGGGTCATGTATTATAAACCTCGCCATCAAATATTGAAACATTCTCCGTAGTTCATTTTGAGTAGCAACATCAATGAAACCGTTACCAGTGTTAATGATAATTCTTTTTAGAAAAAATTGAGTTGATTCCAATCGTCGATCGCTTTGAAGCTGTCTATGAATATGTGACAAATGAAGGTGATTCATTTGTATTTCGCACCAACTTAGATGCTCCGATGTACAAGATAATCAAAATCAATCTTTCTAATTGTGATCGTGTAAGTTTGTCTGTATGTGACTGCGATTATTATCCTCATTTATTGGTCATATTTCATAGCAATTCTGAAGACTGCATCTTTTTTCCTGAGGGTACCAGAAATATATATATATATATATATATATATATACATATATATATACTTATGGACAGATTATAATAATTGTTAAATCATATCACCATTTTGCGATATTATATTCAATCTTTTCAACCGATTATCAATTAACTACCATGGGATTGAATTCACTTGGTATTGTTTGCTTGAATCTTCCCATAGATGGTGGCTAGCAGTGGAATCCAGGACACGCGTTTCGTCATAAGTGGATAACGCGGTGGCGTTTGAAGCGAACGGTACTGGGTTCGAGTCCCAGAGTAACCATCAACTCTGGGATTCAGGTACATCTACCTGACGAGTCCCAAATAGGAAAAAACGCGCGTCCTGGATTCCACTGCTAGCCACCATCCATCTTTGCTTATAATATCATAAGATTGATTTATTGGGAGCTGATGGTTCTCACTGAACGACCATATAGTTTGCAAAAACTATGTAGTTGATTCTCTTTAGACTTTTCAGCGTTCTATCCTGGCTTTAGAATAAACAAACTAGTATGAAATCTCAGTAAGTAGTTATGGTGCTAAATGATTTTATTTTTCCACGAATTATTAAGTGTATAAAATATATATTATGTTGTGAACAAATGCAAATAAACACTTGCCATGTGCGTGATCATACATGCAATTCCATTTGATTTTCAAGTGAGAATGACAAATATGATTAACCCCATGATCATATTCTAAATTTTTGTGATTTTTCTGTTTGAGTCACTTAATTTAATTAGGCCTTCTACAAAGTGTGCAAAAACAAGCTTAGTGTAATGGCATGTACTTGATATATATATATGGTGAAAATTTATTCAGTGATTGTTTTTTTACAATAAATGTCCTAATTCTATTTTCCATATATTCTAGCAACATTGGGAAGATCTTATCGATCACAATGTGGAATCACTCTTAGAAAGTGCAGTTTGTGTGAACGAGGATAAATTGATCATTTGTCATCTAAAGAATGTTAAGGTCAGTTCTGTATTATTTCCTTAAATAATATTCATTAACCTAAATAGCCTAATAAAAAATAATTCTCGAGTTTGTATATCTATTAACCAGTTATTCGAAGTGAATAATGCCTCGTGAACAGAAACTTGATAGAAGTCACAAGTTATTAGTGCAGTAATTAAAAAAAATCTTCGACATATTAAGGATGGGAATTGACTTTTGCATGAGTTTATCAAGTTCAACTGACCCAACTAGTGTCCTTTCTCCCAATTTACGTTATGCAGTTACATAGGCAACTTATAGTTCATTACCTTTTGTTGGATATTCCATGGTTCGTTGATAAGCTCCTGATGACTATTGCTATTAACTTTCATTATCTCATGCACTAGCATTTACGATATGTTGTCCACGAAAACGGCATTTTGTCACTTTTATCAACTACAGGATTCTGGACACAAATACAGAAAATATTTTATACATGTTATATACATCCAAAATTTTTATTATATTGGGACACGTAACATTTTCTAACTTGCGTCCATTTAGAGCTGCTTATCCGTACACAAACTACTCACTGGGGAGAAGATATCGGATATTGATATTTCACTTGGATGCGTCGCTAATGTAACTGGACGCAAACGTGATGATGAAGTAGGTTGTGATTTATCTTTTATAAAACTTAATTTTTCTCAATATAGGCTTTCATCCATTTTACATCGTTTCTCACTCCTGGAATAATTTACTCCTACAATTTTTCCCACTCTCATCCAAAGTTAGAGGTAAGTAGTTTGGCAGGTGAATTGTTTGTAGCATTACTTGTTTTTGTGTACTACAAATCAGAAATGGCATCATGCGTATCCTGCGGTTTTCAACACTTGTTGACTGGTGAATTAAAGTTACTTTGTCTACCGCTACCATCGTAAGTAGGAATTAAGCACCTGCTCAAATGTATCATCTTTCAGCTAATCTGTGATCGGAGTATTGTAATCTGGTAGTTACTATACTTAATGCTAGCAACCTTTTTCACTGCGGAGTGGGTAGGCTTGTCCACAAAACATAGATCACTGGTCATACACACCATCAACCTATCGTTTTCATACCATTGCTTTGTTCATTTAGTAGTGAGCTTTTATGGGTATTCACATAAAAAATATAATCAAATTCTTAGTGTCAGTTCACGTTCCATTGTTCGTATTTCTTGGTCAAGTAAATGGCTCCAAGTTAATTAATGTGATCACGAACTTTACTTCGTCCTCTTACTTAATCATCATGTTCATACATCAAAAACTTTTTTTAGCTATCTTACATATTATATGTCTTTCTATTTTTGTTACTTACATGTGCAAGTTTACCTGTTATTATCCTTGTTGATGTTACTGTTTGATGACAGGTTATCAGAGAGTCAAAGATTCGGGATGTAGACTTAGATCAATTTGAAGTGAAACAAGTATTCTATGAAAGTAAAGATAAAACTGTAGTTCCCATGTTTCTTGTTCTACCTAAAGTAAGTAAAAATATTAAACGTCTTAGTATATATATATTCACTACCTTTATATAACTTGTCCTATCGGTATCGTCACACATCCATCTTTCAATACCTTTTAACTAGAATACTAGTCATCTCTGAAAATCCGTGCTCATTGTTCATATTTGTAATAATACTGGATTAATGTCTGTCTATACCTTCTATTAAACTCAAAACGTTTTGTGATAAACCGGACAAGGCAGCTACCATCAACCTAATCAACTTTGCTTAAGTTGTGCTATGTACTACTGCTAAGGGTAAAACGGTTAATTGATTTCATGATTACTGCGATCTGAAGTATTCCTATAAAGTACGACTTTTCATTGACTCTGAATCTCTTGCTAATGAAAACTAGGGAAATGAACTGAAAATCACTTCAAAATGTTACATCTTAAAGTGGAACTTAATTAATTCTTTTACGATCTCTTTTCAAACCGCGATGATAATAATAACCATATAATTTAGTCCTACGTATCATTGCCGTTAAAAAAATTTCAGCACAAAATATGCTGTATTGCAAAGAATTTCCGCTCAAAATTCACCTGACTTATGAGTATTCAAAAATTATTTATAAAAACGTTTTTAAACACCGATTAGCTTTCATTCACATCAATCCACAAATGTTTACAACCGGTCTTGGTCCCATGAAACTTCGTTTCATTTCATTATATATTTGATATGTGAATTCTATAGTAATAATCTATCTTTTCTTCAAAGAACAGAAAAAAAGTCCACCATCCACTGTGATTTGTCCTCAGTAATTAGATTCGCAATAGGTCTTAAAGATTTAATAAAAGCATGTGAACACACGGTTATCATACGTAATTAGTTAATTAAAAAATTACAGAACGGGAGTATTTGTGTCAACAATTGCACGTTCGAAGGATAAGTGCCCCAAGCGTTTGACTCGATTGCTCAATCAAATGGAAATATTAGCTACCTTGTATAAACAACATTACGGTGCAAATTTCTAAACCATATTGTCTTCTACACGATCAAATGATGAAATTTAGATTTAAATGTATCAAAATCCACCGAAATCCACTTTAATAGTAATCTAATTACCAAGACCACTTCCTAATTATTATTCTCACAAAACCAGGTGTGCCCTGGGAGAGTCCGCTCTCCCTCTCGAAATGCTCTCATATTGCCACACATATACAGCCTCTGCTAGGGAAGTCTTACTCACTGCCTTCTCGCTGAGGGGTGTTGTTTACGAAATTGAGGGGATGAAAAGCGAATGTTCGGCACTTTAACCGGTCTAGTGGATATGGCGGATCCACCTAGGGGAGTTGAAAAATTATGATTCCAAACGAATGGTGCACATGGGCTCCAGGATCTCGAAGGAACAAATGACATATGAACCAATCGTTGTTCACCGACTACCACGAGACTACATCTCCTGACTTTCCTCCCTTGTGGATCAAACCTTTGGATCGAAGACTCCGGGTGTTGACCCCCTAAGAGAACCACCTGCTTCGGTTTAGGCACCCGGGAAGTATCCCAGCCCTCACACAAATCGAATGACAAAGTATGAAGCATATATATTTGGTACCTCCTTGTGCGAATGTTTATATGTTTAAATAAATAAATAAAGATATGAAAACCCTCGACCTTGTGTTCTAATCACTGTTTGCATTTATATCTACACTGGTGTCTCGCTTCACATTTCACCTTGCCAAATTAGCTACTCCTTCTGGGAAGGCTTATTAAATTATAGTGAGTTTTAGCTTAATCAGTTTGAATGGTATTCATTTCGTCGTCAAAAGTCGTCACTGTTCCGATTCACTCTATTTTCCCTCATTTTTTACTTTTTAGAATTTCCAACAAAACAACTCGGCGCCGTGTCAACTTTACGGCTATGGTGGATTTAACATATCTGTTACTCCATCGTTTTCGGTTGGACGATTGTTTTTCTTGATGCATTTTGGTGGTATAATTGCAGTAGCCAACATTCGTGGTGGAGGGTTAGTTTAACTTGGACAATTTTTTTCCATTATGTTCGTAATTGTTGTGACGCGCGGTGTCTAATAATTGAAGCTAATGCCCACTCTTACACACAAGACCGACTACCTGGGTGAAAAGATGAAGAGTGAAGTTTATTTGGGCTAAATCGAATCACATGTAGTTAATGTCTCATCCTTTGCAAAATAAAGCCATCGTTTGGCTATTTGATTACACTGATCACTCGGCGATTCCTGATTAGTCTGCTTTATCAATTTTGTGTAAAGTTTTTACTCAAGCTCACAGTGTTAGGTGGTCGGTGTCATTAGTCTCAATTGTATCCATCTAGGCATGGAGTTTGTGATCAATGAAACTGATTAAGATACACCAAGATCGTTCGTTTTTAATCTGCTTATGGCGTATGTAAGATATCTAAATATTTTGTTTAAAATATTTAGCACATATCAATCCTCTCTATTCTAAAGATTCGAAGCGTATCTGATGAAAATGGTTGGCTTGCGAGCATTGTAGGTATTTAATTACAAGTGCCTTTTATTAAATCACTGGCTGATCGATGTAGTTATGAGTCTGAAACGATTAATCTGCTCTGGGCCATGTGAATAAACTCTCATTGGTTCACGCGGTTGTGTTGTGGCTAAGTTAACTAGAATCAAATTTTTTGTATTCCTGTTTCTCATACGCATATAATTTTATTTGATAATTGATAGAGAATATGGAAAATCTTGGCACGACGCCGGTCGGCTGCAAAACAAACAAAACTCTTTCGATGATTTCCAAGCAGCAGCCGAATACCTTCTTAATCATGGATATACTAACAACCAAAAGCGAGTTTTCTTTTTGTTCACTGTTTTTGGTTTTTTTTCATTTTCGCTTATTAATCATAACGAATTATAGCGAATTGAACATCAACGTTATATTAGGTGTTTTAATAATAGGTTGGTGGTTGTTCATAAACGTAAATTTGCATTTGGGTACATCAAGTTCTTGGAAGGAAGTTAGATGCGACATCTGTTCTTAGACTTATGAGAAATCAAGTCACTGACTGTTATGTAAAATGATGCACATGTGTTATTCGAGAGATCAGTGAACGCATCAAAGGACAGAGTTCGACTTTTATGACTATATTGTTTTCTCACTCATCAGTCGCTTCTTATAATCAGCTTTAAATCTTGCTTTTTGTTCCTTAGTAATTTGGATAAATAACACATGATTATAGTTCTTTGCGGATACAATAAAGTTAGGAGTTGAGTTCGCTTTTATCTGTTCTATCGTGGGAATTCTTTACGAGTATTGGGTACGCTACAAATAAATATTAATAGTATGCAAACATTCGCCAGTAAACTTTTGAAACACTTCCCGTTTGTTTGATAACTTAGTTAAATTTGTAGCTGTTATTTCTTTTAAAACGAACATGTTTCCCATATTCTGTACACAATATCGATTTATCTTGGTTTTATGAGATTCATGTTTTGGTACTTACAATACTGTCCAAACCACAGTTTTAGTTGTTTAGTTTGTTTTTATAGCCACCAATTTTCTTTTTAAAAAAAAACGACCAACTCATCTTTAAACTTTTAGACTGTACATTCAAGGAGGTAGTAATGGTGGACTTCTAGTTTGTGCCTGTTGCAATCAACGACCTGATTTATTTAAAGCTGCTATTGCTCAAGTCCCAGTGTGCGACCTTATTAGATTCCACAAATTTACGATTGGACACGCCTGGAAAAGTGACTATGGAGATCCTGATAATAAAAAGGATTTTTCAAACTTGATGCGGTAATCCATTTCTAAATCATTTATTCATTTCCTATTTTTGGGACATTTTCATGTTTATCATTTAACCCTTACTTAACCGTAACTCCTGTGATCAACTCACACATCTCTATTTCATGTGCATCAATTAGTTGATGACTTGTGAATAAATTTCGTGATTACCCTTTTATAAACCTCATACAACTAAATCGGTCGACACGGAAATGTATTGACTTAAAGCGCTCACTATTTGAGCTGAAAATTTATTATAAAATAACCCATGGCTCTGATAAAATTCGAGAATATATATAAAAACGAAAAATCGTCCAAACGAATAGAATGTATAGCTTATTATTCCTCTTAGCTTATTTTTTTCAAATACTTTGAAGATTATGATAAATATACACCCCAGTATTGTAAGGGAGTTTGTATAAGCATGATTCAATATTGCTTGCCAAATTTACTAGTTCTTTTTCTGTACACTTTTTCAAAATGTCTCACAGAAACTAAAAACTGATCCAATATATGAATAAACTAATGATATTCTTCAGTTGATATTAATAGGTTTTGTAGTCCCGTTGTTTAAGGTGTTTTCGAAATAATTTAAAGCTAGATTATTCTTTGATTTCACAGTAGGTTCTTGTGTAAAAAGATAGTAATCAGTTTTAATATCTAGCTGACGAAAACGAATTATAGGTCAAGAAAATTCTAGCATCTTATATGATTCTAAGTTGTACTTATCTACACACTCTTATTAATATCAATAATATTATGGCTGGGAAATCCGAATAATCTGTAACACCATATTAATACCATTAACCTTTGTTAATCACTAATATACTTGTACTTTTATTCACTGAGTATATTGTTGTAACAATTTGTAACAGAAATCATGTGTAAATATGTTTTGCTTCTTATAGCATTTCCCCACTCCATAATGTCAAGATTCCATCTAATCCAGATGTTCAATATCCAGCTTTATTGATTTTAACTGCAGATCATGATGATCGTGTTGTTCCGTTACATTCATTCAAGTTTATTGCTACTTTACAAGAAAAATTATGTCGCAACTGTCGCCAAACAAACCCTATTCTGATTCGAATTGAGCCAAAGGCTGGACATGGACAAGGCAAACCAACATCAAAATCAGTAAGTTTACAAGCAAATAAATAATTCAATCAAGAATCGTTGAAGTAACAAAAATCTAGAATCTGGTTGCTAAGTCATACTGCTAACCGTATTGGGATAAGATGGTAGTAACGGATAACGAGTGTCTCCAGTGATCCTGGCTCCTCACAACAGAAGAGAAAAGCTTGTAAATCATGACCATGCGGAGAATTAAAAGCTTGTCGCTAGCACGTCGTAAACTAGTCACAAAAGGCTTTGACCGACTTGCAGTACTGTTTTAGACGTTTCAATTAGGCTCCCAAGTCGTCAAAACCATTACCAACCCAGGTTTTTCTATTATCCATTGAATTTCGCGAAATGTTATTCACGGTATCTCGAAATGTCGCTCCAAACTACGTGAGTTTTCGATGTCTAGTCCTTGTGTCATATCAGACAACCCTGTTGAGCTAAGACTTTAGAATCTCGAGCGATCGGCACACGTTGTTTCTCCTGAGCTCGCGTACAGAATTGAAGTGTGGTCATTCACGTGATCCCGTCTGACAAATAGAATCTAATACGGCCCACCCTTCGTATACCAGGAGACTTAACAACGACCACTCGTGATCTTGTAACAGACACTTTGAATGAGAGCTTCCTATAAAGATTGCTGATGACAGTACTTTTCTCTTTCCGATTAACAACTCAGAAAGACAGGTGAATCGCGTTGGCTTTTCGTCGTTTTATACCTACTCCGTCACCACGCTGAAAAATAACTCGTTATGTTAGCGTCACAACCCACCAAGCAGACAACTAATCGTCTGTTGCATACTCAATCAACCGCTTGTTCTTGTCAAGTACCAAAGTATGGAGCAGGCTGCAAATGTTCGGTTAAAGGTGTCTTAATACCATTCTCGCATGTTATACAACAAACGAGTGAGCAATGCTGAGGTTAGTTGTGAGATATTAGGCAAAGATGCTAAATCAATTGATGTTGTCAATCCTCAGCAACTAAGATATTTGGGACATAAGTATGACCAACTACCGACAACCATAACGTAGAATAATGGCTGGACTGGTAGTAGGTTTAAAGTGAGATAGAGGCGCCCAAACCAAGACTAAGCATTAATCCACGAAATCACAGACTACCGGACTATGTCGTGGTGGTAGGTCAAAAACTACCGAGTCAGTAGTCGGAGACATTGGATAGCATGACTTAGAACCGGTTACAGTGGCACACATATCTTTCTGCGGATCTTGAGTTACAGTACTATTTCATACGTAATTTTCCCGGAAACACATTCTCATTGTTCCGTGTTTTTTTACTGCTAATACTTGCTATGTCTCGGTAATATCCTTTCATCGTGCTGATGTGGTATGACTACTAGGGTTGACGCACATCTGTGCTAGGCTTTATGTAGATTTTGATCGACTGGTTTATTATATGAAATATGGATGTCGGATGACCACAGTATTTTCGTTTAGCGATTTGTTCATCTAATTGAGGGCACTAGCTAAAGGGTAAACTTAATACTCCCTTGCGCTTCCACAGTTTATTTAAAACTCCAGATCTTAAGCAATATCTCAATACCCCTTACCCTATGTAAAATACAAAGAGGACCTGAATGGTAGGTGTTCTGACCAGTTTCGTGTGATAAAAAACTGATTAGTTATTATCGAAATTTCACTAGAATGCAACCAACATGTGTCCAACTCGATGAAAACTCATGTTTACATCTTAGTTTGTATTTTAAAAGTTTGCTTGTCTGTCACCTTCACTGTTGTAGTAATAAGTATTATCAATCACATTTTATTCTTATTGTGCATATATTCTATTATATGCCAAAGTTACTGAAATATTTATAAATATGTATAGTAAACCATTTTTAGTACTCATTTATTGTACCTTGTATTTCTATACATACCGTGATGATTTGCATTTCAGATTAACGAGGTAGTAGATATATACTCCTTTTTACAAACTGCAATGTCACTCACATGGAAAGAATAATATGGATTGTTATCGCAATTACTAGTCTTTGAATTTTTGGTACCTAATAATCTCGTCGCTGTTGTCAACATCTATAGATTAATTTTACTAACTGCCCCCGATTTGATTTGTATGAAGATCGTCTGTGGTGCTTTGTTTATTTATTAACATTCTTGGCTTTCATATATATATTTCGTGTAACTAAACCAAACTTATACATTTGTTATGACGTATTAAAAAATATTTAATGATATTACTAATCGGTTGATTCACTGTTCATCTTTACGGTTTGATAGTTTGGTAGATTTCAACGGTGGCTTGTAGTTTTTTCTTTGTAAAACGATATGTAATAATAAATAATACGAAACGTAACCGATAGTAAATAACAAACCGACATTGTTTCCCTCATCACTAAAACAGACACTTATCCAGTTAGGATTGAAAGGCTTTATAGACAATGCTACACTATTTGCTATATGTGCTTTGTTAGATTTCATGCTCACGTTTCACCTAAAGGTAACTGTTATGATAAACCAAATGCCAAATTTATTTTTAAAAATAATGAGCTCAGTAAAATCCAGGTATGTTGTGGATCCAATTATTAGCCGAACAGCACATAAACGACTGTTACAGGGATCCACTCTAACAGTGCTTGTTCCGTCCTCGTACTCAATGCTATGCCTACACCTGTCAGTCCACGAGAACTGGCCATCGGGTCGCCAGATAAAGAGGGTGTATCTCGTCGGCTGTCCGTTTTGGCGAGGTGAGGTCAAGTGAATGACCACATTAGGATCCTGTATGCGTGTTTCGGAGGTACAGCATACATCAATGGTACGAGATACTTGAGTTTCAGCCAACGAGGTCTACTGCCGATTTCACTAAGGGTGCGTACGTTTAGGGCTCTAATGTGTAGCGAGGTTTCAGTAGACCTGGGACAGGGTTTTGCGCACTAGAATCGCTGGCCATGGTGACACTTGAGGAGGAAGTTTAGTGTTGAAGGTCGATGTAAAAGGAATAACGGGAACTGAGGAAAGAGGTTGATTATGAATACAGTGGTCTTGAGTGCTGATAGAGATATGAGGGCAGTTATCACCTCCCGGTTGCTCACACCGTGGAAGGGTTCTTCTGGAGGTACCTGAAAAGTAAATTAGGTTAGGAGTGATCTTAGTGAATCTGAAAGCGTTACCACAGTACCCAAAGGACAGCTGCTTGAGGTCGGTCGCACACGCAGTTGTTGAAACCTTAACGCCGGAGATGGATATCCTTCGGACAAGGCGAGGTGTGCATTTATTAGGGTCGACCTTTTCTAACCCCACCCCTCCTTGTGGGAAGGCAGCATCGCTGTCATGCTGGTTATCTGAGGGAAGCACCTTACTGCCGTCACACCTCTGTACAGTCAGCAGTACGACTTCACCCTCGGACCTTGGGTTTGCTGCTTTTAGTCTTACTGTTCTACAACCGACCTTGGTTTATCACGATAGGCAAGCCCGACCACCACGTCAAAGTATCAACGGCTGCGAAACGTGGCCATTAGGAGTAGAAGATACTCGTAAGCTACTAGTATTTGACCACATATGATTTATAAATATTGCTCGCATTTGCTGGGATCATCGGGTAAGTAATAGCGAGGTTAGACACAGGGTATTAGGGAATGATGTTAAATCGGTTGTTAAAGTTGTGAATCTTCGTCGACTGAGATGGATGAACCAAATGTTAAGTATACCTGAACACATTACCACAGCGTTCAATGCTGACAACTGTCGGGGATCGTTGGAAGAAAACCAGGGGAGTCCAAGCCAAAACGTGGCATCAGTGCTTGAAGTCACTAACTTCTAATCTTAGCCATGTTGATAGATGAAGACTACTTAATTAGGGTCCGCGCGACTATCTTAACCAATGTTTGGAGACTGTGGGTGACATGGCTCAGAAATGATCACAGTGGCGTAGGTGTATACACTTTCTTCCTTCCCTTAAACTATGAGATTAAAATTATTTCATATCTTTCTGTACTATATCCTTACATAAAATCTTTTCTTTATATATTACACCAGTGTTCGTCTTGCTGTGCTAATGAGGTGTGGCAACTTGTACCGATTCATATATATGCCTGGTCCTACGTTGTAACTGACTTATTGCATCCAATTCTATTAAAAGGACTTTCTCGGATTAAAAACAATGGGGATAACTACATAACATGAGATATTTCACAAAAGATAAAGTCAGAATGAAAATCAAGTAATCTCAAAAAATAAGTGACAAAATTAATTAAATTCAACAGCGAATGGTCAAAGATGATTATGGTAACTTAAAAATGAGCTTTTCAGTGTCAGTTATTAAAACGCCTACTGCTGCATTCGGGGACTGATTCGTTGTTTCTTACGCCAACAATCTTTTGGACACCTGAAAGTTTATCAGAACAATGGAGATTTTTCGTAATGATATGCGCAGCTCTTAATGGACGTGATAAAGGCATTGAAGCATGTACATCGGACACATGTAGTTCACTTTTACATGAAATCAGCTTTTTATATTCTTGTAAACATTCATTTTCTTCTGTACTGTTTAAAATAACATATCTTCGTTCATGTGATGGGGATGCAGATCCTGGTCGGTTTCGAAGATTTAGTTGTGCGCCTCTCTCAGAGATACAGTTTTCATCCACATCACATTCGGCTTCAACATCCTCGTCTATTTCATCTTCACTCTCACTATAGCATCTGAATGCTACTGAAGGGATTTCAAGTGGTTGACGATGCCTAATTCTAGTGTGAGCAGGAGATGATGAATGTCCAGCTGAGGGTGATAGAGCACTATTCCGAGGAAAAATTATAGAGCGGACAGCACGGGGTTCAGATGGTAAAGAATTCGAACGCAAATCAAACGTAGAAAATGATGGTGATGAAACTGAATGTAGTGCTGCATGCCTTGGAGGGGTTGACACAGGCTGAAAAATAGGAAAATCGTGATACTAAACTAGACACTAAACAACCAAAGATTAATTGGTTCAGGATGAATTAAATTTCGACACTGAAACAGACATAGGACTTATAAACAACTGTGTGGTTAACAGGATATGACTGACCTGGGAAGTCACCACTGTTAAGGAGTTTTCTGCGAAATCTGTAGTTTTGGAAGTTGATAAGGTCTGAGATCGAAGTCCAGATGTGTTGTCGCCTTGGAACTTTTTAGTGGGTGAATCTGATAATACGGTGCATGAATGTAGATGCGGAATTTCAGCCTTTACTTCGTTATTTTTCGAGTCACATAAAACCACATAACCAGGATTGAAACCTCCAATACGAGAATTTGGTATGGTAGATGACAAACCGATTGAAGCTAGGCCTAACTTATTCATCCATTTTGATCGGTCGATTTCAGAATCAGAAGCGAACACAAAGCGAACCCAATCATTGAAAATTGAGAATGCACTAACATGAATGAAATATGAAAAACCACATGACATTACTGAGAGCTATTCAAATGAACTAGCCCAAGTTATTCGTTTGAAACAGCTGTTATTTCCGCAAATCTAGGTTAACAGAGCTATGAAATTAGAACACCAGTGTTCTTGAGTGCTGTTAGAGGTATGATGGCAGTCATCACTTCCCGGTTGCTCACACCGTGGGATGGTTCTTCTGGAGGTACCTGAAAAGTAAATCAGGTTAGGGTGATCTTAGTGACCTGAAGGCGTGACCATGGTGCTTGAGGTCGGTCACACCTTTCTGTGTTAGCTCCGTAATTGTTGGGACCTTACTGCTGGAGACGGTATCCCTGGGACAAGGCGAGGTGTGCATTTATTAGGGTCGACCTTTTCTAACCCCACCCCTCCTTGTGGGAAGGCAGCATCGCTGTCATGCTGGTTATCTGAGGGAAGCACCTTACTGCCGTCACACCTCTGTACAGTCAGCAGTACGACTTCACCCTCGGACCTTGGGTTTGCTGCTTTTAGTCTTACTGTTCTACAACCGACCTTGAGGAACGACTGTTCCAGCTGGTATAGCTCTATTGGTTTGTCACGATAGGCAAGCCCGACCACCACGTCAAGGTAGCAGCAATGGTCAGGATCGGAACACCATGATAGTACTAGTTAGGTAAATCATATAACTACGGTTTGTATGTTAATAATAATAGCAATTAGTAAGTAGATAGTTATGGTTAAATCAGTGTTTAAATAAAAAGGAATCTCCGATACATGTATATCAATTTCTAACCTTCAAACTATTATGTAGTATTGTCGTGTGCACTACCTATTTAGACGGACATAAGCATTATGTAGCAGGAATTGGAAGTAGAATGTTACTAGGATGAAGATGTAAGGGACAACTGAAAGATGTGCAAGTGATGTACTCAATGTATGATTTTCGTGTTTTACAAAGCTACTGTCTGATTTCGCATAAAACAAAAAATTAGTTTACCGTACCTGAATTTTCGCTTACTGGAGTATATCTGTAATCCAGAATGCATTGATCATACATACAAGCCAACCGACATATAGAGAAATGTCTCGATTGCACACCATGACTGTGAAATGAACTTTAAAAGGGCAATATTACGTTGCACTGATGATTTTGAATCATCAATCTACAGCTTCGAAAAAGTGGAACGGGGATTTTTAAGGGTTGTTGCATCGTGTAACGAATGTTTTACTTAAATGTCTCTTCAACTTATAATTACTATGGTAAACCATGATATTCTTCGTACGTAAATTAACTATGAACGGCTTTTTAAGCTGGAAGCTCAGCAAGCCCATGGATTTGTGTTAGAAACTAGCAAGGACGATATACTGTAGCAATCGACTAGCGAATCTTAAGGCGAGAATACCGTGTAGTAGTCTCCTACAAATTTTGTAGTTGATGGGGTCTATATTGAGTACATCCTATAATTCTAACAGGTGCAATTGAAACGACTTACAATTTTCCCGATTTCGCTGAGACTGCAGGAGTGATTGTGAAACCGTGTAACAGAATTAAACCTTCAGCTGAATCATCCTAAAATAAGGGAAACAAATATTTTCCTATTTTTAAAAAACAAGTTAGAACATTACTTCAGGATTTCTGTAATAATAGAACGTTGAGTTTTTGTAAACACACCATCGCTTCACATATTTACTGGTAAGTGGGTTGGTTTTCTTCAACCAAAGCCAACCTTGACAATCTCCCTGTCCAAGATCCTTGCAGGATATACGACGAGCTATATGTAAAACATGAAATTAAAAATCCATAGAAAGCAGTGAAAGCAATGGACATAAAAAAGTCAATGTACTGCTTTTGCGTAGAAAGACCCAAAAGTGTTATGCATGTTTACCATGCAGTTGGATTACCTTTCCACTTAAATTTTGTAAAAAATAATTTCTCTTTATCCACCAACGACTTCGGTTAAGTATAGGACAAATATTACCTTAAATGCACCACGGAACAACTTGTCAATGGTAAGGTTTCAATAAATAAGCTCAATTAAATTAGTGGAGTTTCATTGAAATCATGAACCGACCAATGATGGTCTAACATTGATCCGTCCACGATTTCAATGAAACTCAGCTATCTGTACATCACCATGCCGTAAATAAGTAGAATTCGAAATTTTCGATCTCCTGGGTACTGATACAAGGCAATGAGCTTGTAGTTAAATACCACAACCCTCTTTTCAATCTACGACCAGGTTCAATAGAGTAAATAAACCGACTAATCCATATAAAATTTTTAAAGAATAGTACGGTACTTCTGATATTAGACAAGACAGAACATATTTAATGTTTTTCAAAATTGCTTGAATCAAAGTGAGTGGCTCGCATTCATCGTTTTTTAAGTAACTTTGTTGATAACCGGCTATTTTAATTAGCAAGCTACCCGCTGAAAAACGATTATGACAATTATAACTTTAAAAAGAAACAATGTTAAAATGTCCGTGTAAGCAGTTTACGTATTAGTTTACTACACATGCTGGGATTTATTAATTTCGAAGCAGAACAGGATTGGGATATTAGCAAAAGAAGGATAAGTAGAACTTACTTGGTTTTCTTGATCCAAATCCATGTTTTAAAAAAAGCATGAAATCATCAAGACTAGAACGATGAAGCTGTAAAAATAAAACACGCACAATATGATGTTGAGTGGGATACTTGAGGGTACATAATGATATAGTAATGTTATGATTTGAATTATTTTTCTGGTTAGTGTTTTTTAGCGAGTTAGTTTTCTACGGGATGGGGTCGCTAACCACATGCTCGACCCTCCTCCTTTACCCGGACTTGGGAGCGGCAGTAACTCTAGAAGAGCTACAGGCTCTCAACAACAGGTTCCAAGCCTTACAGGATCTACTGAAAGAAGGAGAAACTACTATGGAGGACAACTGGAAAGGTATCAAAGAAGCACTAACTTCAACGTGTCAAGAGGTTCTGGGCCTAAAGAAGCATCATCATAACGAATGGATCTCTATACAAACATTGGACAGGATCAAAGAAAGAAAGAACAAGAAAACAGCAATTAACAACAGCCGAACACGAACAGAGAAAAATCAAGCACAAGCTGAGTACATAGAAGCAAACAAGCAAGTGAAGAATAGCATTAGAGCCGACAAGAAGAAATACGTGGAAAAACTAGCAACGACGGCGGAAAAAGCTGCAAGAGAAGGAAATATGAAACAGCTTTACGATACGACGAAGAAACTAGAAGGAAAATATAGTAAACCAGAGAGACCGGTCAAAGACAAAGAAGGCAGGCCAATCACTGAAATTCAACAACAGCGGAACAGACGGGTAGAGTACTTCGAGGAACCCAACTTCGAGATCAACATGCTGGATTCCGTAAGGATTGGTTGTGTACAGACCAAATCACGACACTAGGGATCATCGTCGAACAACCAGTTGAGTGGAACTCGTCACTGTACATCAACTTCATTGATTATGAAAAAACATTTGACAGCGTAGATAGGAGGACGTTATGGAAACTTCTTCGACACTACGGAGTTCCTGAGAAGATTGTCAACATTATCCGGACTACAGTGCAAGGTCGTGGATGGAGGACAGCTGATAGACGCATTTCAAGTAAGGACCGGAGTCAGACAAGACTGTCTTTCTTCTGGTGGTCGACTGGATTATGAAGACCTCGACATCTGAGGGAAAACACGGAATACAATGGACAGCTCAGAACCAATTAGACGATTTAGACTTCGCAGATGACCTAGCCCTCCTATCTCATACACATGAACAAATGCAGATAAAGACAGCTAGAGTAGCAGTAGTCTCTGCATCAGTAGGCCTCAACATACACAAGGGAAAAATCAAGGTCCTCAAATACAACACGGAGAACAGCAATCCAATCACTCTTGATGGCGAAACTCTGGAAGATGTAGAATCCTTCACATACCTGGGAAGCATCATCGATGAACAAGGAAGTTCAGATGCAGACGTAACGGCGAGGATTGGTAAAGCAAGGGCCGCATTCCCACAATTGAAGAACATATGGAACTCAAAACAACTTTCAACCAATATCAAAGTGAGAATCTTTAATACGAACGTCAAGGCAGTTCTACTGTATGGAGCTGAAACTTGGAGAACTACAACAACCACCGTCAAGAAGGTACAAGTATTTATGGATTGTTGTCTACGCAAGATACTCAACATCCATTGGCCGGATACCATCGGCAACAGCCTTCTCTGGGAGAGAGCAAACCAGCTTCCAGCTGAAGAAGAAATTAGGAAAAGACGATGGAAATAGATAGGACATACATTACGCAAATCATCAAACTGTATCACGAGGCAAGCCCTAACTTGGAATCCTGAAGGGAAGGGGAAAAGAGGAAGGTCAAAGAGCACACTGTGCCGAGAATTGGAAGCAGACATAAATATGATGAATAGCAATTGGAAAAGACTGCCCAGGACAGAGTTGGATGGAGAATGCTGGTGAGCGGCCGACGCTCCTTTGTGAGGTGTAACAGAAGTATGTAAGTAAGTAATGTTATGATTGTATCTTGAAACACTGACCAATACCACGTGCTAAAGTCACTAAACAGAATTTTATGCGTCTACTACATCTATAACTTAGCTTCTCTGACTTGGCCAATTACACGCCCTACCATCACCTGACTTTGACCTGAAACAACTGAGTTCTTATTGGCCCGCAGTTCGCAGACTTCTCTTTACATCTGGCCTTGAGCTTGAAGAATTTAGCAATCAGCTTCTACTGTATTTATATTTCAAACAGATGTAGCTTTTATTACAGCCCTACCAGGTCGCAGTCACATCACAAAATAAAAAATAACAACTATACAGGAACGAGCCATGAATGGCAATGAAAAAGCAAGTTGTAATTAACAGACCGGCAGGAAATTAGAGATAGTAGGTCGTATAACAGTAATTAATGAGTTAACTGAAAGTCTATAATAAATGTAACAATCCCATATTGCTTTTAGTTTAATATCTTATATCTCTAATCTATTTTTGTACAGTACGTATAGTGAGTCTTGTCAAGGAATTCACTTGTAAAACTTACGTTTCTATAGCGTTTATCCAGAGCATGAAACTTAGGAGATGAACTACTACAGTGACGAAGCGACGAAGGACTCGGTTTTTTCTGAAATAACGTATCTGGGAAGATTTAAAAAAATATGTATAAAAGAAACATTATCACTATTAATTTGAGTTTGAATTTTAGAAAATTATGGACAAGACGTTTTTCTGAATTGACAGTATAGAGGTGAATACCAAGCTCCCAGTTGAAAAGCAATTTATTATTTTTGATTACACTGTAAAAGCCTACAAACTCAATACATCCACAATCTGATCAAAAAGTGTCCTGCTTTTCATAAGTCAATCGATCGAATGTTTCGAACAATCTGCAAAGCATGATGGAAGCCAATCGCTTGGACGCAAACGGCAGTAAACGTATTCCCCGATAGTTGTTGCATAGATGACATAGGACATTTCTAAAGATGGAGGCGATGGTCACTTCATTTTAGCATGTTAGAACACTCTCTAGTTGTCAGACCTTTCGAAACAACCCAATCAATTTTCCTACCAGTGGTTCGCCCCGTAATCTGAAGAGTTAATCAAAAGTAGCCAAATGAGACCACTTATTGGCAATTAGACAAGTCCCAACGGATAAATGCACACCTTTGGCTAAGAGATGGATTGATTTGTTAAGGCGTAGAGATGTAATATATACGAATGAGTATTTATACGTGTCATTTGGTAACCCAATAGACTTTCTCTCCCACTTTTGTTTCCTCGCTTAAGTGTTCAGTTGAGGGTTTAGCGCGTAGCACGTTGTGTATCAGCATCAAATCTCGGACCACCTACGTCATGAAAATGAGTCGTCTGGGATTAGTAACTTGTGGTCTATGGTGCTTCAAGAGTTGGAGTTTCTTGAGCATTTTCTTCTAGTTGTATCGGTCGTAACCCGCCATGGAGTACAAGATAGTGGGATTGACAATGATGGGGCAACAAACTAGCTTGACTGTTTCTCGGAAAACTGCCCACTGTGCAAGTCGTCGTCGGATGTTGTTAACTAGCATTTCATTAACTCACACTAGACTTCTTGCTGCCAGTGGTTCGAATGAGTTGAAATAGCTCTCTACATTTGCTAGAAGCTGCTGTTTTCAAATCTGGCACATTTTGACCACCAACTTTCTCGTTCTTCATGAAAATGTTTTAATAAATTCCCCAAACGGATCGATGTCAGCAAATTGGTTGCAGCTTCTGTTGCAACTAAATATCGAACCGAGCTAGGTTCAAGGCTACCTACCAGCCCATCAAAAAGTATAGAAGAGCACCGGCTGCATCTGAATGACACCGTAAAAATGGCGAATAAAGTCGCTTGCGGCTTCGCGAAGTGTTCCGCTTTTAAGCATCGGGTTTCTACAGGCTTCCTACAACTCATTGAAGTACGTCGGTCTACTCTGGGTGACCGCGAGTTTGACCATAAACGGAAATTCTTCGTGTTGGTTCTGTAACAACTTTCGGGGGATAAGTCTACTTACGATTACGTCCAAACTATTGGCTTCCGTTATGCTTCATAGATTGTTCAGGACTCGCGAGGAGCAGGCTGATTTCCATTCTCGTCGAGGATGTATTGATCACATCTTCACCCTCCGCCAAAACGTTAGAACACCGTCACACGTATTAGAGGCCAATAATCGTAGTGTTTCTTGACATCAGGGCTGCCTTCGATTCGTGGACAGGACTGTTCTCTAAAACTGTCTATTGAAGAAGGGTGTGCCTGAGAAGTTTACCAACATCTTAAAAGTCCTATATACAAACACCTCAGGCAGAGTGAGGGCATAGAACCACCTCTCTCCACCGTTCCATTCAAGCCCTGGGACTAAGCAGGGTAGCCCAATTTCACGATTCCTCTTCAACTTTATCATCGATGACGTTCTGGAAACAGCTCTGATGGATGTTGGTGTGGATTTGTTGGTTGGAGAAAGATTTTTCGACCTTGAGTATGTGGATGATATTGTCTTACTGTGCGATAATGCCCAAGTCATGCAATCCGCACTTAATCAGTTGACAATTAGTATCCGTAGGTATGGTATGTGCTTTGCACCTCCGAAGTACAAAGTACTTCTACAAAACTGGCATTCATCCTGGGTAGTGAGCAGACAGAAGTAGTGAAGTTCGTGTATCTGGGTAGCTGAGTAAGTGTTGGTGGTGGTGTGAGTGATGAGACCAATTCACATACAGTGAAAGCCAAAGCGGTTTATGCCAATCTGGGCCATATTTGGCGCCTTCGTGATGTTAGTCTGGCTGTAAAAGGTGAGAGCAGTTTTCCTCTATACTTATGAAACCCGGCCTCTCCGAGTTGAGGGTGTTAGACGACTCTGTGCTTGATCATCGTTGTCTCCGAAGAATTGCTGACATTTAGTGGGAACACCATATTAGTAATGAAGAGTTTCGGCATCGAGTGTTTGGAGTTCACCCATGTACTCCAGCAGGAGAAGCAGTCTTTTATTAAGCCTCTTGAATAATGGCTGGTGAAGGCATACTCTATTTGCGTCCACCGTTCTGATGTTAGAGATCACCAGTTTAGATAGTCTTTCCTCCGACTTAAAGTTTATACTTGCTAAGAATAATCGGTTGTTTGGTCGGCATTACAGCAGACAGTAACCATTTGCTGTTTGTTGGCCTGGGTCTCCACCTAAGTGTTTTGAATTTTGACTTGGCCCACCAACTTAGGAGTTAAAGCCACCTGCTATGAATATTAGGCCTTAGCACCTGGCCTAATGAAGGAGGTTGTAAAGTTTCCTGCGAAACTCAAAACGTTAGTAGACGCCGTCCCATGGTAACCAGTGATTAAAAATAGGTTTATACACTATCCGACTCCTCAGGATCCAAGAGCTTATGTACACCTTTGGTTTGGAATCGAGGTTTTCCAACTCCTCTGAGTAGATTCTCTGTATCCACCGGCTTAATATAAGATCTGGATGTTTGCTTTTCGTTCTCTTATTTCCGTAAAAAAAACAACCTCACAGAATGAAGAGAATGAGAAGAACTTTCTTGATAGTGGCTATAAACACATGAGCATATGAAGGTGCTTTGAATGGACTCTCCCAACTCTCGGCCGTACCAACGAATCCGCAGCTGATTGGTAATGTCCTTAACTGCTGGACTGTATGATGAAGCTTCAAATATCTGAGAAACGAGTATATAAGCTCCTTAAGTATCGGGCTGGACAAAACTTTCACGTAGGATTTTCTGATTGCCTCCAGTTATGTAATACAAAATAACAAAATTGAAGGTATGAAACAAACTAGAAGATAAAAGCAAAGTAATGAACAAGGGGGAGAAAAGATATGGAATAACAAGGTTATTATGATTTTAAATAAGAGAAATAGTTGCCAGATCTGCAAGACTGGACCGATTTTCTAGTCATACTAATCAGTCTCCATCGCAGGCATATACATCAGATTTACAAAACTGACTATCACTCACTGATTTTGTAGATTTCTAGCACATTATGTTTTGACCAAACTTAGCATTTTTCGTAGTTACTATTTCTCAACCCAATGATGATAAATCAGCATGCGCATCATGTACTCCAGTAACTGAAATTTTACTTACTTTGCACAAAGTTTAGTGGTAGACATTGTCATATTTTCACTCGAATGGTTCAAAAGAATTAATATCTATTTACCCTATCTACTAAGACTATATTTTTGAATAACTTTGGACTAGAACAAATCACTCAGGAAGAGATTATCAACTATTGTTCGTTCTTGGAGCTTTACTCAGGCATACAAATTAAAAAGAATAAGTCTAGTATGTTTTGAATGTCTAATTAGTAAGGAAAAACCAAGCTTACAAGATTACTAGTAGAGATATTCATTCAAGTGAAATCTTGACTTTGTTGCAAGTAAAATGCTCAATTTAGAAAGTAAAATATGTATGTGTCGCATTGGATCTACAGTCGTTTAGTAATAATGGTATAGAGATCTTTTAAACTATTGAAACAACAAGACTTTTGACACTAAGCAGTGAGTAAAATACTGAAAACGAATAATTTAAAATTTTATAGCTCACGACAATGAATGTGGAAACCTGATAAAACAGATATTACGATTAAAACACGTACTCGTGTCACTTTTAGCAAAATTAAAAATATTTATTCCAATACAAAACACTATGACATCACCACACTACTCACTAACCTTCCCCATCGCCACTAGATATACTATTCATCAGTTTTGGGTCACCAGAAGCTGTGCGTCGATGTGTTAGGGAAAAACGAGGAAAAACAGATTTGTTTGAAGAACAAGAAGTTGAGCGAATATGATGAGAAGTATTGACAGACTTGTATTTTCTACGGATAACGCAAGGAAAAATATGATTTAGTCCGTTATTATGAAAATAATAGTACTAAAAAGTTAGTTCAGAGTATCTCAGATGATTAGAATAATCTAAGACTAAATGAAGTACAAAAGTTGTCTGAAAATAAATCTTTTTACATCCATACTACAATAGTACATAATTCTCACTACTAGTTATATTCCTTAGGAGGTTATTATCATGTTCTTCATATCATCAAAAAATACCAACCGAGTTAAATAAATTACAAAACATAGTTTCAAACAATAGGGTAATAAACTACAATCTTTTTACCTTATGAACTCCCCAAAAATAATTAATGTTTCTGAGTTTCAGAACGAACGGCACTTGATGTCAAAAACCAGATTATACTTGGGAGAAATTTCAAATTAACGTTGTATGGAACTTATTAATAAATCTGTTTTTCCCTAACCCTTATTTCACTGGATTATACTCTTTAAATAACATCTTCAAACCCTAATCTTTCCGATTACTGCTTATACTCTAACCGCCTTTACCACTGCGGGATTTAAATCGACAACTGCATCTCTGTGCTAATGTGGTGTGGCAACTCGAACTGATGTGCGTACGTACGAAGTTCTACGTTATTACTGACTGACTGAATGCTTTGTTCTAGTTGTACCTAAACACTTTCATCATCTAAACAACCAAAAGTTCAATAAAAAATGAACTGAAAATGAAATCATACGAAAGGTTATCCACACAAGATATGTAGTCATCATGAAAGTGAGTCTGATAAATCGTAGTTAATCGTTAATGCTGCATCCAGAGGTGCACTGACTAGAAATGTGAATCTGCTCGTAATAGAGTCACAAGAATGTAGAACTTAATGAAAATTCTGTGATCGAACGCATTTGCAAAGGGTTCAACTACGAAAGCAACAAAAAGTATATCTTAGGAAAGTAGGCATACTATAGAAACATGCTAAAAAGAGAAACGAAAAATTCCACGTTAAATCCCGATATATGAACCTCTTTTTTAAAGTAAGTGAATTCGCACATGAGGTAAATGACGATTGACAATGAATCAAACGGATGTATGGCAATTCGAAAACAAGAGAGTATTACTTTCAGTAGTTATACTCTTACTGATCTAGGGTTGCGGTATAAGTTAAAAATACATTATTCATAGTGTGACATCTATTAATCATCTAGCTTATAATGAGAAAACGAGTAACTAGGGTCGTTATCACGAGCAAAATTTTGGTATTACTAAATAAGAAATATCTGTATCGACTTTTCATTTAATCTACTCAATGGTACAGTAGTTTGTAGAATACTACTACTCTTTTAAGACACCTTATAAATTAGTAAATGTCTGCAAAGAATGTGAGAGATGGAAGCCGGATTGGTCATACCTACTTTTGAGCTCTTGAAGTAATATTAATAAATTGCAAATAAATTCAATTGTATGTGTTTGGAAACGGCCAGTAGATGCTATGTTCTAAATTTTATCGATGCAATTGGGTCAGTAAGATAGAAAAGAGGTAGTACTGGTTACTCTTTGGTGACCGGTGTGTGCTTCATAGAATTATACAAGCTTTATTGAGATATGAATAACCTATTAGTAAATTTTCCGAGTAGTTAATATCTGAATTTCTGAAAGAACATGCTTCTCAGTTGAGGATACCTTTGCTGGTGATTGTTAAATATAGAACCTAATCCCACGACTTTCTTCCAGTTGTCTATAGCAATTCAACATCAAGTTCACCGTGATTCCAGTTCACATACCTTACATACTACTACTGACTTGATCAACAGGATTTGGTTGGGAATAACCAAAAATATTGAGATTAATTACTCAATTTTCTTTATGCGTCTTCTCAATAGTCACTTACTTGGAGTATGTTGTATCAGATGAGACCACACTAGTATCGTTTATTCCGTTGTCAAACGTTGTAGTACCAGGATGCGCAGGTGGAAGGTGGGGTGGAAAAGATAGCGAAGAATGAGAACACACCGAGTCCATTGATCGTAAAGTCATTAATGGAGTATTTGGTGTACTAGCAATAAGCCTCGAGTTATTGTAAATTATGGATTCATTGCTGGAATTCGGTCTAAAAGATATATGAGCACGATTTTCTAGATTGCAAGGATCATCATTTATTTTTATTGATGTACCCTGATGCACAGATAAAGAAGACGTCGGAGAAGAGGAAAGCAACCCAGACACACTAACTATGGATTGAGATTCAGGTGGAGATGTTGATGTAGGTGAGGAAACAGATGTTTGATCGGAGGTGGTTTCTTGAGTAACAGACAAAGGTTCTGTAGAAAGTGGGCCTGTAAGAGGCAGACGACGTTTTGGATTTCTGGTAAATATATACGCACCTCGCATCTGGGATAGGCTTCCAGCAGGTGGTATCTGGTTGACTATTAGGCGATGACGCCGCCCAGCTCCTGGAAAGCCAATAAAATCGTTGGAATGAGAGGGTCGCTTTCGCAATCGCAAACTGATGTGCTGTGAAGAATGCCGCATTAAATCAGCGACGCGATAGTGAAGCCAACCAATCTGATAAAAAACAGAGATAAACAGTAAACGTTCGATTATTATAAAAGTCCTATGAAAGTTTAAGGGCGTACTTTTAGTTTAAGCTGAAGTCACAAGAAAACGGAAATTAAGTCACATGAAATATCAGTCAATCAATCACCAACAACGTAGAACTTCGTACGTTCGTACATCAGTTGCCATATACCGCATTAGCGCAGAGATACAATTGTCGATTCAAATCCCATAGTGGTAGAGGTAGTAAAAGTATAAACAGTAATAGGAAACATTAGGGTTTGAAGATGTTATTCAAGGAATATAATCCAGTGAAATAAATTTGAAAAGAGAAAAAATAAGGGACATGAAGAATTCAGAAGATTAGAATTTGAGAGAACACAAAGAGTGGACGCACCTGCGCCATCGCAAACGATTTTGAGCCATATCATTTAAGGTCTCTAACCATCGGTTGCTATCATCTCGCGGTCCCCAACCAGGTAGTCTACACCTACCAACATGGCTCAGTCCACTTGTCAATGACTTCATGGATTTTTGCCATGTTGTGATCTGGCCGCCCCTAGCTTTCTTCCAACCTACTCCTACACCATAAAACATCACTTGTCGAGGCAGTCGGTGGTTGGACATATGTAACACGTCTCAGACATCTCAACTGATGAATTTTCACTACTTCATCAATTGATTTGCCATCCTTACCTAGTACCTGTTTCCTAACAACTGCATTACTTACTCGGTGGTCCCAGGATATACTAGCAATGTTTCGAAGAGACCTATGATCGAATACTAGTAACCTATGAATATCCTCTACTCTTACCGGCCATGTTTCACAGCCAAAAAGTAGAATGGAACGAACTGCTGAGCAGTAAACCTGTCCTTTGGTTGGTAGACGGACATCTCGCCTACACCACAAGTGACGCAATTTGGTAAAAGCTAGTCGAGCCTTCTGTATCCATGCTGAGATTCCGTCATACACCAGACCACAAAGGCTGATGAGACTCCCAAGATAAGTGAAGTGGTCAACACGCTCAACTACTTCACTCCCTATTATTAGTTCAAGTGCCGATGCAACCCAATCCTGAAGCAAAATTTTGCATTTTGAGGGGGACAACCGCAACTCGAACATGCTTGCATTGTTGCTTGAGGTGGTCAACACGAAATGTCGATAAGGAAGTGAGATGTTAGCAACTGAGTAGTAATCTTCTTAAATAGTTTCTGAATGTTTGTAACTCAGTGTATTATAGTGAGTAATATGCTGCACATAGTAACTGCGGATACAGACAATTTTTAATATAGCATACCGTAAAGGGACATATATATTACATACTTACAACTATTTGTTCATTTACTTCGATTACTTCATCTCCTTTGGTAACTTTTCCGGTACTAAATGCTGGGGACTGAAACAAGAAAAATAAAAAGTAGCATTCATAAATGGCCTCCAGAAGTCTAAACATAATTTAAAACGTGTAGTAAATAAATAAAAATGCTATTTCGATCAACTGCAGCACAAATATTTTCTTAACGTAGTATCTTCTATTCCTAAAAGCTCTGTCAATGCATTCTTACATACTCCTGTCACACTTCGTGGAAAAACATAGGTCGCTAACCAGAATTCCCCATCCAACTCTGTCCTGAGCAATCCTTTCACGTTGTTTCCAGTTGCCATTCATCTTATTCATATCTGCTTCCAATTCTCAGTGCAATGTGTTTTTAGGCCATCCTTTTTTACGTTCCCCTCCAGGATTCCATGTTAGGGCTTGGCTCGGTGATGCAGTTTGGTGTTTTCCGTAATGTATGTCCTATTCACTTCCAACGTATTTTCCTAATTCCGTCTTCAATTGGAAGCTGGTTTGTTCTCTCCCACAGCAGGTCGTTACTGATGATATCCGGCCAACGGACATTGAGTATCTTGAGTAGACAATTGTTTAGAAATACTTGTACCTTTCTGATGATAGTTGTAGTAGTTCTTCGTACAATAGAACTATCTTGACGTTCGTATTGAAAATTCTGACTTTGATATTGGTCGACAGTTGTTTTGAGTTTCATATGTTCTTCAACTGTAAGAATGCTTCCCTTGCTTTGCTAATCCTCGCCTTTATTTCTACATCAGATCCTCCTTGTTAATTGATTATGCTGATGTTAGTGGGTCATAGATTGGATTAAAGCATGTTTCGTGCACGATTGTGTTGGTTCACACTGATTGTTTATTTCTTATTCAGTCAGCGCTAGTCGATACTTGAAGACTCTAGAATCTTTTCACGTAAAAACTACAAATATAAATTAACGTTTTTCTTATTGGGCTTCTTACTTCCACCTACCCTTGTTATTTGAAATATAACTTCTTTCCTGTTCGATCGTGTTCTGATTTGGGGACTTCTCAAGTGAATTGGTACCCAAGAATACTGAGCAATGGGAATAGCTGGGTTGTAATAGGAGAAATTGTGACAGCCGACAAGGTACGTGAGTTTCCACCTCTGTCAGAGTGTGATGCCTTTGTAGTTTTCACATTTGCTCATATCTTATTTCGTTGGCATCTTGATAAGGTTTTCTTCTTTCCAGTCTGTCGGCACTTGTTCTTCCTCCCAAATCTTTCTGAATAGAACAAGGAGCATGTTTGCAGTTACTTCTATGTCTGACTTCATTGCTTCGATTGTTATACTGTCAGGTCCTGCTGCTTACCCACTCCTGATTTCTTTGATCGTTGGTGGAGTGGCAGTTATGAGTGTCTGTGTATACTACTTCAATTTCCGGTGGGTTCAGTGGGGCTGGTCTATTCAAGAGTTCTTCAAAGTGTGATACACACCTGTCCCTCTGTTCTTGGATCTTAGTGATTGGCTTGCCTCCTTTGTCTTTGACTAATCTCTCTTGTTTATTATATTTCCCTGCTAGTTTCTTCGTTGTGTCATATAGCTGCCTTATATTCCCTTCTCTTGCAGCTTTTCCCGTTGTCTTTGCTAGCTCTTGCACGTATTTCTGCTTGTCAGCTCTAATGTTTTTCTACACATGCTTGTTTGCTTCTGTGTATTCAGCTTGTGCTTGGACTTTCTCTGCTCTTATTCGGGTGTTGTTAATTGCTGTCTTTTTGTTCTTCCTTTCTAGAATCTTGACCAGGGTTGCGATAGAGATCCATTCCTTATGATGATGCTTCTTGTAACCCAGAACCTCCTGACATGTTGAAGTTAGTGCGTCTTCAATCGCCTTCCAAATGTCCTCCATAGTATTTTTTTTGCTTTGGGTAGATCTTGTAAGTCTTGGAACCTATTGTTGAGAGAAACCTTAAATTCGTTGGGTTTGTCAGTATCTCAAAGGAAGGATGTATTGAACCTTTGTAATGCTGTTTCTTCAGTTGTCTAGTGCTTCTTTAACTTAAGTTTCATCTTGGCCACAACCAAGTGGTGATCTGAAGCTATGTCAGCTCCTCTGTTTGTCCGCACGTCTTCCATTGATCTACTGAGTTTTTTAGTGATGCAAAAATGGTTGATGTGATTCTCTGTATTGTGGTCCGGTGAGACCCATGTAGGTTTGTGTATGTATTTGTGTGAGAATATTGCGCCATCTTTAACCATTTTGTTGAATGCGCATAAATTCGCAAGTCTGTCACCATTCTCGTTTCTTTTTTCCAGTCACCTCATTTCGTCCCATGATATATTGATACCCGGTGTTGTCCATTCCGAATTTGGAGTTTAGGTCTCCCATCGGGATAGTCAGGTACTTTCCCGGGCACTACTCTAAGATCGACTAAAGCCTGGCATAAGACTGATTTTTATAATCTTCATTACAATCATTGATGGGTGCATAGCGCTGGACAACTTTTATTGTGATTTCCTCTTTTTTGTTTCCAAGGTTGCTTTGGTGATTTTGAATCCATTAGGTTTACCTCTTATAAGTGCTCTTCGTGCTTCTCAAGACAGCATCAGTGCAACTCAGTGTGCGAAGCATTTCCTGCTTCATGACCAGCGTGCAACAGCATCTCACATGAACCTATTCTTTTCAGTCCAGGTTTGTTCCAGTGGGTTTCATTGATTCTGAGTATCGTAAAGTTGTATCTCCCCATTTTCGTAGCTATTTGACTGGTCTTCCCGGTCTCCCACATTGTCCGAGCATTCCACGTACTTATTAATTGTTGCGCTGGTTGTTAGAATGGGCGTCGGCCCCATAACTTCCGAAAAATATCGGCTTTTACCATTAGGCGTCATAATTCCTTCGGGAAGATTCTTCAGCTCGCTGGGCAAAGTTTAAATGGTTTAAGTTGTTCATTTTGGTTAGTGTTTTTGGGCAAGGTTGATTTCTACAAGATGAGATTGGTGATTTATTTATTTGAACACATAAATATTGGTACAAGAGAGCGCCAATATATATGCGCCACACAAAACAATGAGAATTCGAAGAGAAGTAGAAAAAAAAAACTAAGGAGCGCAAAAGGAAAAGAGAACAATGACGAAGAGATTGGAGTAAGGTAGTGTGGTAGTAACGACGGAACGAAAAGGTACAATCAGAAGAAATCTTTCAGGTAAAGGAGACACAACCACTTTTTATGAAGAAAGTAAAAGAAGGTTACAGCAGGATCGCCACTGGCTTCTATTCTGAGCCATATCTGATAACGTCTCTAGCCACTGTGTAGCACCATCTCTCGGACCCCAGCCAGGGAGTCGTGAAGGACCAACACAAGCCAGTCCTTTGCAGCTTTCTTTCATGCCACGACACCATGTCATGCACTGACCACCTCTCCGCTTCTTCCAACCAGTCCCAGAGTCGGCAAATAATGCACGACGTGTAATTCTCTGGGACGACATTCGGAGAACATGTCCAAGCCACCGAAGTCGGTGTTTCAAGATGGTCACACCAATTGAATTATCATCTCTGTGCCCGAACACACGATGCCGAACCTCTGCATTACTGACATGGTGTTGCTACTGTCAGCAATCCTTCGGAGACAGCGATGATCGAACACAGAGAGTCGTCTAACGTCCTCAACTCGGAGAGGCCAGGTTTCACAAGCATAGAGCAAAACTGCTCTCACCGACGCGTTGTAGATCCGGCCTTTTACAGCCAGACTAACATCACGAAGGCGCCAAAGGTGGCCCAGATTGGCATAAGCCGCTCTGGCTTTCACTATTCGTGCATTGATCTCATCACTCACACCCCCACCAGCACTTATGCAGCTACCCAGATACACGAACTTCTCAACTACATCTATCTGCTCACCATCCAGGGTGAGTACAGGATTAGAATCCTGCCAGTCTTGTAGAAGTACTTTGCACTTCGAAGGTGCAAAGCACATACCATACCTACGGACACTGATTGCCAACTGATTAAGTGCGGATTGCATGCCTTGGGCATTATCGCACAGTAAGACAATATCGTCCGCATACTCAAGGTCGAGAAGTCTTTCTCCAGGCAACAGATCCACACCACCATTACTTACATTCATCAGAGCTGTTTCCAGAACGTCATCGATGGCAAAGTTGAAGAGGAATGGTGAGATTGGGCAACCCTGCCTAACCCCACTGCTCGAATGGAACAATGGAGAGAGGTGGTTGTATGCCCTCACTCTGCCTGAGGTGTTTTTATACAGGGCTTTTAGGATGTTAATAAACTTCTCAGGCACACCCTTCTTCAATAGACAATCCCAGAGAACAGTCCTATCCAACGAATCGAAGGCAGCCCTGATGTCAAGAAACACTACGATTGTTGGCCTTTGAAAAGTATGGCGGTGTTCTAACATTTGGCGGAGGGTGAAGATATGATCAATACATCCTCGACCAGAACGAAACCCAGCCTGCTCCTCGCGAGTCCATCTTTCTCGGGTTTTGAACAACCTACGAAGAATGACGGAAGCCAATAGCTTAAACGCAATCGGAAGTAAACTTATCCCCCGATAGTTGTTACAAGAACGACGTGAACCCTTTTTAAAGATAGGGACAACTATCGACTCATTCCATGACGTTGGTACACTCTCTAGTTCCCAAACCTTTGTAAACAACGTCGTCAATTCCTTAGTCAAAAAGTCACCACCATCTTTAAAAAGAGCCGGAGGTAAGTCATCTGGGCCAGGTGATTTGTAACGCTTCAAGAGTTGGAGTTCCTTGCGGACTTCCTCCTCATTTGGTGGATCAGTCGTCACCGGCCATGGAGGGCAGGACAGTCTGACCGATGTTGCCGGAGCAACAGGCCAGTTGAACTCCCCTTCGAAAAATTCTGCCCATCGTCCAAGACGTCGATGGATGTTAGTGATTGGCATCCCATCATCCTCGCAGATTGTTTCACTCACACCAGACTTCTTGCTGCCAGTGGCTCAAATGAGCTGGAAGAGCTTCCGGTAGTTACCAGATGCAGCTGCTGCTTCCAGCTCATTAGCACGCATCGACCACCAGGCTTCTCGGTCCTTACGCAAGCTTTGCCCAATTACCTTACGTAACATTCTTCGTTTATGGTCAAACTCACGGTCACCCGGAGTAGACCGACGGGCTTCAATGAGTTGTAAGGAACTTGGAGAAACCCAGTGCTTAAAAGCGGGACGTTTCGCAAACCCACAACTGACTGTTCCCGCCATTTTCATGGCGTCATGCAGTTGCAACCAATGCTCATCTATACTTTTCGGTGGAGTGGTAGCTAGCCTAGAGGCTAGCTCGGTTCGATACTTACTTGCAACAGAAGTTGCAACCAGCTTGCTAACATCAATCTTTTGGTGGTGGTCACTTCGTTGGCCACTGAAAAGTAAGGCAAGATTGGCGCAGACCAAGGCATGGTCAGAGTCCAGATAGGTACTCCAAAAGGAGCGGCAGTCTTTTACACAACCATGCCAGCGGTAGCTGATCGCGATGTGATCAATCTGAGTCCAGGCTTGAGATGCAGAGGGAGGACGCCAGGTGGCACATCGGCGATGACTGTGCCGAAAGTTAGTGCTAGCCAGAAACAGGTTGTGGTCTGTGCAAAGTTGCAGTAGACGGTCCCCGTTATCTGACCTGCGACCAACGAGTCCCCATCGGCCACCTAAACGACTCTCTTCTGTGCCTAGACGCCCGACCTGAGCATTCAAGTCTCCGGCTAGTACTACAATATCTGTCGAACGCACTTTCTGGAGAAGAACTGATAACTGGTGGTAAAACTCATCCTTGATTGCATCCGGGCTGCAATCTGTCGGGGCATAGGCGGAGATGACGAAAAGACATCGTTTCTCACGCCGATTTCTTCTCACTTTGATGGAACTTTCTAATCTAACAGCACATAACCGACTGTTAATGGGGATCCAATCGACTAGTGCTGCCTCAGCTCTAGCGCTTAGTGCGACACCAACGCCAGCAAAACCAGACGAAGATGCCACAGGGTCCCCGGATAAGCGCACGTAAAACAAGCTTTTCGAATCGACAGATGGAGATCGAATTTGTAGTACTTCGCCAGAGTCTTGAATACGGGTCTCGGATAGACAACACACGTCGATATTAAGACTTTCCAAAGACATAGCCAGCCCTATCTGTTGTCCGACCTGCATAAATGTGCGAACGTTGAAGGCAGCCAGTTTGAATGGCGCACGTGGTTTCAGAAAAACTGCTTCAGTCCTCGTATTCGGTGGTAGCATACAATTTTCAACCGGACAGTGACTCGAGAACGTTTAGATACAGTCGGAATTCCACCAAAGACGAGCCGCTGTATAAGTATAAAAGAAGGTGAATAATGTGGAAAATAATAATAATAATAATAATAATGATAATAATAACAATAATGACAATAATAGTAGTAATAATAATATTAGTATTAATAATGACAATAATTGTAATGATAATAATCTGAATCAATTGTTTGTTTTTCAAAGCGAGAAATGTAATTTCCATAGGCATAAAGAGTTCATCAATTTGTGTGTGGGCTGTGATACTGCCCGGGTGCCCAAACCGAAACAGGTGGTTATCTTAGGGGGCCACTCCCCGAGCCTTTGACCTAAAGGTCTAACCCACAAGGCAGTGGAGCATCGTAAGGAGATGCAGTCCCATGGTAGCCGGTGACCAACGATTGGTTCATACGCCATTCGTTCCCGTAGGATACTGGAGCCCATGTGCACCATTGGTTTGGAATCCGGTTAAAGCGCCGGACATTCGCTTTTCGTCCTCTCATTTTCGTAAACAACACCCCCGCCACGAGAAGGGGGTGTTGTTGCTGACCCCATTCCCAACCCTCCTCCTTTACCCGGACTCGGGACCGGAAGTAACCCTAGAAGAGCTACAGGCGTTGTCAATTCATTCAATCCGTTAAAAATACTGTAGATGCAGTAGTGGTAGTTCATCCCTAAATTTTTATTGTGATCTTCAAAACACAAAGACCTGTGACGTTAAGCAATAAGTAACTAAAATAAAAAAGCAAGATCAGACATGAGACCAGTGATTATGTAGATTTCGGGGGTTTAACTTCGTTTTTCCAAAAAAATTTTTATTGTTTAATAATACGATCGCCGATGGTTTCGGTTCGAAGTCAAATTTGAAGTCAGAATATGTGACTAACTGGTTAGAAGACGAGTTTTTTTAACTACTAAGAGGCCACTTACTTATTTGTAAAGGTTTGAAATTACGCTAAATCTTAATCCAAACAAAATAGGTGAAAAATAGAGCCCATTATCGACACTACAAAGTAAAGCAAAATAAATCATAATGATAGACTACATGTTAGTCTACATACTTCATCCTGAACAGAAACAATTACGTGAATATTGTTTATCGTGGACCGAAAATTAAACCCCTAAAAAAGAATATGAAAAAATATTTTAAGGAGAACTTTTAATCCTGTAGTAATCATGCACTAAACCTTTACACCACTTTACAGATAAGTCATTAGCAATCACATGGAAATAATAGCAGAATGTAAAAAATAGTTGTTATTAGCGAAAGATTTATTAAAACAAATACTGTGACCACAATGGTCGATACTTAACAATTTCAAGCAATCTCTCGGAAAGCTTACTGATTGTCCTTGCCATTTTAAACCCGATGCAGTACTTAGAAGAATATGGATAAAAAGTTTCCACACTAGTGCAAGCAATGGATCTATGACGAAGTCAATCTAAGAACAGTAGAATATTGATTGGTTGCGTCAAATAATGGGTTTTCTCTCCAAACATCCATAAGTATCAAAATCGGAATCAAACTTGATAAACGCTTACTAACTCACCAATAATCTATTTAAAATAATCTCAAGCTTGAAAGGCAAGCAGAATGACTTATTTGATTTGTTTATATACATTGAGATTGATTTTCATTACAGGCTTTCATTCCACTTCTCAACAATTGTTTCGGAGTAACGAAATTTCATCGGTTGAGATGTCTGAGACGTGTTACATATGTCCAACCACCGACTGCCTCGACAAGTGATGTTTTATGGTGTAGGAGTAGGTTGGAAGAAAGCTAGGGGCGGCCAGATCACAACATGGCAAAAATCCATGAAGTCATTGACAAGTGGACTGAGCCATGTTGGTAGGTGTAGACTACCTGGTTGGGGACCGCGAGATGATAGCAACCGATGGTTAGAGACCTTAAATGATATGGCTCAAAATCGTTTGCGATGGCGCAGGTGCGTCCACTCTTTGTGTTCTCTCAAATTCTAATCTTCTGAATTCTTCATGTCCCTTATTTTTTCTCTTTCCAAATTTATTTCACTGGATTATATTCCTTGAATAACATCTTCAAACCCTAATGTTTCCTATTACTGTTTATACTTTTACTACCTCTACCACTATGGGATTTGAATCGACAATTGTATCTCTGCGCTAATGCGGTATATGGCAACTGATGTACGAACGTACGAAGTTCTACGTTGTGACTGACTGAATTATTCCGGACCACGAAAGTATGTTCTATATGATTCTAAAATACGACTTAAGTACCTCCACTTTTTAAGATGTTTTACTAACAACAAACTAATTATTGTACAAAAAGTAGATCTGCATGTTATAAACTCGGATGTATAGCAGCTACGACGGTCTACAATACCCTACTGAAAAAAACTAGTTATCTTTTTTATTTTTATAAACCTAATGCATGACAAGTCCCAGAGTTCATATGGCACAAAAACGTATAGTCAGGACCTAGAGGTACTGAACGACCCATGATGAAATTCGTCGTATCATGAGGGCATACTAACAAATGTCCTGATTCCAGAAAATCTGGGGAGTAGTGGTTATAAAGGGTGGCCTTATAAATCAAGTATAAACTAGCTACTCACCTAACGGACTGTGAGAGAAATTTCCAGCATGAGACGGACTTCAATCTCCGTAAGAACATCAGTAGCATATCAGTTAAGTATAGTTGAAACTTAACTCAGGTAAACCAGTACTCAAGTATATAAGAGGAAAACAATACAACTGATATCCAGAGATGCACAAACAAACGTTATTACACGCTGACCTAAGCAAAATAATGTAGCATATTGCGATCAGGATATAAAGTATTAAGGAATATCAAAAGGAAGCTTACAAAATCAGCGGAGTCAAGTTTTCTTATTTGTACCATTTCGATGCCACATGGAGTTAGTAAGATGGAATCACTGCAGTTTTGCAGAACATCTTCGACACGGATTCTCATTGGTTCAATCTTAAATTATGATAATGAGTTTTCCGACATACATAATCGATTATCTCCTTAAAATGTTCATTGCATTGAGTACTTATAGCCTGCTGAGATAACCTATTGGTAATTATAGCATTCTCAACAAGAAATTGTCGGAATACAACCATTTCGGGAAGAAGAGAAAAAGGGGGTCTAGCTGAAAATATTTACTGTGTTACATACTAACCGCTCTAGCCAGGACGCAGCATTACCGATCGAGGACATTAGGTTCAGTATACAACTGAGAATGTAAGAAACAGCTCCCTGAATATCTGAAAGTATCCCCGGATAAGGACTATCAGCATCTTGTCTCTTAGTTATAGCCATGAGAGAATTTATTGCAGTAACAATGCATGTACACGAACGTGATACGCGCAATAGAACTGACTGAAGTGTTTCGTTATCAAAAGATGAAAATTGGTATTGTAGTTGCTTCACTTTCTCCAATATGATCATCTGATGGCCAATCTTGTGAACTCCATACTTGTCCAAAACATCAGCAGTCAGGGAGCTAAGCCACTTTCCACTTATATTCTTCGCACTGAATGCAGACAGATACGGCTCGACAGCATCGTCCAACCCTTAAACAAGTTTATTCAAAGTTTTTTTAAGTACCGGAAAGCCAAGATATGACCTGAGCGGTTGTCCAACTAAGATACGATTGTGGTTTTTCGAATTTGTCCATTAGACCGCATATGGTTGACTTTTCGAATTGTTCCAAAATACAATGTTCAATATCGTTGTGACCCAACGGTTCAAATGGTTGTGGACGGGATAAAAGAATATTTCGATTACCGAACTTCCGTGTCTAGTAGCGGAGGATCACCAATAGTAGAAGAAAAAGAAATTGGTAATTCATGGTAAGAGATTACCCTTAGTCCCGGAGAATATATCAAGTTGCCTCTTGAAGGACTCAAGGAAAGTCACCTGGACTAGCTCAGCCGGCAGCGAATTACAGCATCTGACAACTCTAAAGGAGTAGAAGTTATGTCAACAGTCCGTTCTTCTGTGTTGTGTCTCTAGTTTCTGGGTGTTACCCTTGAGGTTTGTGTTGGAGCTAAGTGTTAAGAATGCTGTAAGTCACCACAATTTCACCTCTAAGACACCTATACTCTGGTTGGTAAAGGTTCAGCAATTTGAGGCGCTCTTCATAGGGATTAAATTTTAGTCCTCAAATTGATTTCGTGGTTCACAATTGGATACGTTCCAATGTGTTCTTATCCTTTTGGATTAAGGGCAGAAACAATATACTGCCACGCTTTAAATGGAGTCGAAAAGACTGCTGAAGATTATGTAGAAAGTTCCTCCATCAAACTGGCCAAAAATGCGCTTCAATGTTACGAGTGCAAGGTTTGCTCGAAAGGCATTTTTGTCACAGTTAGCGTGAGACTTCAGATCACAAGGTACCAACACTCCTAAATCTTTTTCAACCCGGGATGCTTCTAGAAGGGAGTCGCCTAAGTTGTAGCTGTAGTCTGCAACATGTCACCGATGAACTACTTTGCACTTTGGAGTGTCAAACATATGTCCGTTGTTGTCCGCACAACTTTGAGGGCGAGTCAGATCCTCCTGAAGTGCCAATTTCTCCTTGTGGTTGTGAACTTCTCACCAGAGCTTAACATCATCTGACTATACCTGGTGTAAAAGGTGGTTTATATAAATCAATGGTTATCATCCCAGTTAACACGTGTTTGTAGTTGTCTTTAGGGAGATCGAAGTCTTTTATAATCAGAATATGAAAGTATCCGATATGAAGAGTGCAAGAACATCCCTTCAGCACACGGTTGTAGTACCTAGCGTCAGCTGTGAGCTTCCCGCAGATGACTTTAACCAGGAAATTTAGTGTCAGTTTATCTCACTGTGCACTAAACAGATTTATCAAGATTGATAATCTCTTGTGTGCATAATTGACATACTGCCAAGTAGATCGTGAGTACAAGACTGTTCTGTCCACAGTTTTCTTGTCATTGCAAGAAAAAGATACTCTGGGTATTGCCAGCCACTAGTTATTGATTAGAGATGATCATTTTTCAGACATTCCAGTCAAATCTATATTGTTAGCGCTGCCTAGTCCAGTAAACTGTGTTAGGTAAACTCTCGATGTTCGTATATGAATATTTGGTGCCTTCGATTCGGAATGCTTGAATGTTTTTTCCCGATTATCTAATTAGGTCTTATGTGAATGGATAGAAAACCTACCCAGATAGAGTTTTTCGAGCGAAAAGTCACTGTCCTCTTCATATTTTTTCCTCATTCTTCATAGTCAACGAGTGTAATAGTCAGTTCCAGCTTTCTTTTGTCCCTAATCCTTGCATCATGTGTCCCGTGTAGGTGTATGCGAATTCCAACTGATGACTGATGTTGGTCTGTACAGAATGCTTCCAGAGTGGCAACCGCTATTTGGGATTTCACTCTATGATATCATCGTCTGCATAATCAGGGCCCATGTTTTTTAGGACACTTCTCATTATAATATTTCTTTCGCGAAAAATATCTCGCGAGATTCCCTTGAGTTGTTTCTGATAAGATTGCTCCCACAATGTTGTATATCAGGCAGTATCCTTATATTCTCACTTGATTTCAGCAAGTGGCTGGCCAGTAGAACATCCTCCACGTTAGCAGCGTTAGAAAACATTGTACGAAGAACTTTCGAGTATGATATCCTTCCTCCAGATAACCCCGTACTCATAAGTGGCTCTATTTTGATAAGTTCAAGCTACCACTTTAAATTATCCCAAAGCATCCTGGTGTTTTTGTTCTGCAGACTGAGGAGAGTGTCAGAATCGTATTTAAAATTCATTATTATCAGAGAATAATCATGGTCGTTGGTCGGTTAACCAGTTTTTGAGTACGTTGGGGTCGGAGTCATTTTGTTTGGCTGTTGGGGTGTGGTACAGATCCCAGTGTTCTTTGTTAACTGGTTGGACAATCTTAAATGTATGTCGAACGCCTTATTCATTATCTGATTATTTTCCTTGAAGCGAACTTTTCAGCATTTTTGATAATGGTCCTCGTTTCTTTTTAACCTTGTTAACGAAACTCCAATTGCTTACAATGAAGTTATTCGGAATCACAGTAGCACTTTGAGGGTCTGTACTGGGGAGCCAAGTGTACTGTGAAAGTCTAACACCACCGATTTTGTGGCGGTGAAGATTTTCACTCATGTTGGAGCTTGTTCCGTCAGTACCGTTGTCGAAGTCCCTCTCCTTCACCCCACTGCACGTCTTTGTTTGTCTATTAGTTTCAGGACCGCTTTTCCGGAGTTGCCGACAATATTCTACAAACCTGTAAGGAGAAAACTGACATTGTTGAGTAAATGCTCAGAGTTCATTTTACATGTACCATATACCCACAAGCTATCTTACTTACCAAGTTCGTTGTAACCAGTTACTGTAAAGTCATTGCATTCCCTGTGCAATAGATCTTTTCACCTGCTACACTGCATACCATAGATGATAATTAAATGAGACCCAAGTCGTTAAAATATTATCTTGGTGACCGTGGAGAAATATAGGTTGTTACAAAATTTTGTGATTAAGAAATAAACAGTAGACTCAAAACGAATAAAAACGGGTCGTAAAAAGACCTATGATCCATTAAAACTAAACTTTTGACATGACAAACCGTAAGTTTGAAAAGTAAGCTGACTCGAAATCTCAGTCAAATCTATAATCTAGCGAACATCATCTACAGATTATTCTGATCAAAAATCGCAGTCCTTTTGCACAGGGAAAGGGCGGAAGTTTGAGAAACAAAAATGGCGTTAGGGTGGTACTTCTCAATCGTAAAGCTCGAGCGTTAGTCCTAGGGTAGTACGGTCTCTGGAACCAGCAAGCATCATATTTCCAGTCAGTCGGTTGGTTGCAATGTGAGAAATAACAGATGAAAAATTTGAATACGGAAGAAAAAAGAGCAACCAATTGCCCAAAACAATTAGTTGATGAATTACATAAACGATACTTGTTGATAGAATTTTAGGGCATAACAGATGGGCCATTTACTAATTAAGACTCAAAGATTATTAAGCATATTTGGCAGTGATTTTGATTTGAAATTTGTATCCAAGAGAGAGGGCATATATTTGAGGTAATACTGGACAATACTGAATAATACGCTGAATAGGAGTCGACTAATGACCCTACAAAAAATATAAGAACGAAAATAAGCCGAAACAGCTCTGATGAAAGAAACAAAGAAGATGTGGCCATTTGTGTGTCCAAATACTGTTTTCCGTACTGTATTTTAAAACTATACATAATCCTAAACTTTAAGGTTTTTTTCGAAACGCTTTCATTTATACAGTTGTTTATCCGTTCATTACTATACTTAGGGCTGTTTTCTTTAACCTATTAGAATGTTCTTGCTTGGAAACTAACTTAATAAAAAAGAGTAAGTCTAAGTAGTTATAACTCCATTACTCCATGACAAATGACACAATTTCGGTTGCTATGATCATTGTATGCTCTGCTTCCTGTGCTTTCTCTTATAACTCTCCTTTTCAGCTATCTCGTGATATGCCGCCAAAAACCCATGTGGAACATGTGACTTCGTCCTGAGCCATTATCAATAGTTCGGGTATTCCATAAGGATGTATGGTTGCGTTTTTCAGAAGCTCTCAACTTTACATGGATTCTTTTTCGACCATCAGTTGCACATCCCAACTCAACCTCTGTAAAGCACACTAACCCTTACATTGACAGTTAGAGTCCTAATAACATTATTTGTATTCAAATGTGACAGGTGTTATCCTCCCCTGATTCTATGATCAGTATGCCATATAACATATCAACCTAACTAGGTGACTTATCACTGTGAAGCCTTTATCATATGTAAAACTTTGATCTTGTCTGTGAACTGACATACCTCATGTAATATATTATTATCAGTAGTAGTATTCGTACATGTTTGCATTTACGTGTCCATCTGTCACACTAATATTACCCAAACTAGCGTTCAGCTCAATTGTCAACATACATAAGAGCGATGTTATGAAACATCTGAACCACTGAAAATATTCAACTTCGACACCGTATTTGATTTTATCAAGTACTGTTTCCTCATAGCTGTGTTATTACAAATGATTTCGGTACATCAATTAGCTGTTCAAATACCCAATGGTTTGAAACCTGTGCAGTTCAATTGGTGGTTTGACGACACGTTCATCCACAAAGATCATCAGATTACACAGTCGATAGGATCTCTTGCGAAGTGAAAACAACATTGTCACCTATACTCCAAAATTGATAGTGTTTCGCACCAGTTCAGGGTGACACACTTGGTTTCTTCGATATTTTTTCTATTCTCTTATCGAACAAATATGCCGCACTCACAGGTTATAATATCTTAGAGACAATGTCACCAAGCCACTCCCGATCTGTAGTCTACAACATTAAGTGATTGTAATAGCAATCATCAGCTTCACAAACTGTGGTTACAAAGTGATCTATAACTTCTTACGACGAATTAACGACTTGTTCACGGTTATACTCTTGTGATTTCAGCTAATCTGCTGAACATATATAAATTGAATTCGACACATACGTGCAGTAAACTGTCGACGGCACAGGCTGATCTTCTGCATTAAGTCAATTACGATACTAACATCAATATCAATTGTTGATACACACATCGTACTACCACTGTAGTAATACTGCGCTTGCGGCTAACTAAAAGTTGCTTATCTGAGGAATTCAATAACTTATCAACGCAGTGTATTCCCACACTGCCTGGTGG